TTGAAAAGTCAAATCTTTAAGATATAGGATAATTGTCCATTTAAGTTAATTTGTTGGCTATCTGCTAAACATGGTAATGGTTCGGTTCTAATCGTAAACCGAACCAAAATTGAACTCGTTAAAAAACCAAAACGGAACCATTAAAATCATAACCTTGACCAAACCGGATCGTAACCGACTACCTACGGATTGGTTATGGTTTAAGGTATCATGAAACCGAAATCGACGGTTCTAAACCGATGGTTAACTATAGAATCGACGGTTCCACATCTTTCCTAATAAATTTGGGTTGGGTCAAAAAAAATTAAAAATTTTAAATTAAAAAACCAATTTTATATGGGCTGGACGAGTAGCTATTGGACTGAAAAAAAAATTAAGACTAATAATTTTTAATTTTTGGGCTTAATATATATATATATATCCGTGTGTGTGTGTGTGTGTGACAAACGATCACAAATGTGACCGTTTGTCACAATGGTCACATTTGTGATCGTTTTTTTCCTATAAATACACTCTCAATTTTTTCATTCTCCTCACAACTCAATCTCTCATTCTCTCTCAATCTCCTAAACTCTTAAGTCTAGAATTCTCAATACTCGTCCTATAATATTGTTTATACTCCAAATACTTCTTAAAATTTTTACATTTCTATTGTTTTATACTACAAAAAATGGCAAGTTCAAGTTCACATATGCCATCACAACAAAGTAATACCGCCAATCAAAATCGAGCAAGGGAGCAACAACAACAATCAAATTTTACACCTAGATCATCCGACATCTTCAAAATTCATTTCTCAAAAATTCCTTTAGAAAAAGGCATTTTTACCGTGATTTGCAACTACCGCAACAAGCAATACACATTCAAAGAATGAGGTGGTTATGGAACATTCAAAACCCACTTAGAGAAAAAGCATCCATCCGTACTTGGTAATGATAAACATCGAACACAAATATCCGGGTTTGCTTCTCAATCTTCCTCTTTATTTCAGTATACTCGATAAAAAATAAAGAAGAAATGGCTAAAATGATATGTATTGATCATTTATCTTTTAGTTTTAGTCAAAAAATAGGCTTTAGTGATTATTGTTCTAACGCTTTGAATCTTGCTTTCAAACAAGTTGAAAGACATTCTTAAAAAAAAATAGTTATAAAATTGTATAGAGATAAAAAAAAAAAAGAGAGAGAATTAACTGTATTATTTACAAATTTGAATGGTCGTGTTTCTATATGTTCCGATATATGGTCCGATCAATGGCAAACTCACTCTTTTATAGGTGTAACTTGTCATTGGATTGATAATGAATGGCATATGCAAAAACGTCTTCTTGCATGTAGAGTTTTTGATGATAAACATATCGCTCAAAATATATATAAGATACTAAAAAGGATTTTAGATGAATATGTTTTACCTTTAAAAATATTTTCAATTTCTTTTGATAATGCTAGTTCTACTGATGCTTCAATAGACTCTCTAAAAGAATTTTGTCAACCCCAACTTGGAGGTAAGTTTTTTCATATTAGATGCGTATGTCATGTTTTAAATTTATGTGTACAATCTGGTTTGGAATATTTTAAAGATATTGTTAGGCCAATTAAAGCTCTTGCTAAATATTTATAGGCTCATCCCTAAAAGATGAAATCATGGGAAAGGTTTTGCAAAGAAAGAAACAAAAAACCAAGACGATTTTCAAAAGATGTTCCAACTCGTTGGAATTCAACTAATGACTTACTTAGGCGAGTCATTTGAATATCGAGATTTATTATGCTCATTTTTTTCAGAAAATATTGATTCTGTTTTTATTTGTCAAAATGATTTTGATATTTGCGAACCACTTTTAGAACTTTTAAGTGTTTTTAACAATGCAATATACACTTTTAGTGTTGTTTATCAACCAACTTCACATTTATTTATGATTGAAGCAATTAATATTGTTGAAGCTTTTAATCATGTAGAACAAGGTATGCTAACTTTACATGATGTTGTTCAAATAATGAAACAAAAATGGTTAAGTTATTATGAAACAATTCCACCTATTTATCTTGTTGCTTTAGTCTTTGATCCTAGATTTAGAATGGAAGGTCTTTCTGTTGTTTTGAATACTTACTATGAGTATTTGCAATTATTTGATAGAAATATAGAATTAGAAATTACTTCTATTATAAATCAGAGTTAGAAATTTATATATTGAAATGTCTTTAATCGTGGGTGATCAATATGCTAGTTCCTCTTTACCACTTATGCCACAATCATCATCAAGTAGCCAACGTGTTAGAGTCGGTTATCTTATGGCCATGGAAAGGACAAAAAGGCCAAGAGGATCATCGGGCTCCACTTTCGAGCTTGATATTTATCTAACAACCGTGTTTGAGTTTGGTGATAGCAATGCAGGTGTAGATTTTGAAGTAATTGATTGATGGAAAAGATATGCGAGCACTTTTCCAGATCCTGTCCATAATAGCTAAATAAATACTTGTTGTGCCGGCTTCAACAACAGTCGTTGAAAGAGCATTTAGCGCGGAGGTAATATTTTAGATGATAAGCGATCACAATTGGCTCCCGAGTCACTTGAAGCCTAAGTATGCATAGATGATTGGATAAGAGCCGATTAGAGAACACAAGAACAAAAAACAATATGATTTCAATGAAGAAAGTGTGGATCTAACACTCGACGGCACAACGATAGAAACTTCGAAGCCGGAACTTCCGGTCAAGAAAGCAACTAGGCGCAGCTTACATAGAACATAGGTGTAATTTGTAAAGGGGTAATTTGAAATGTAAAAGAGAACTACGTAAGTTTTGATTCCTCTAAACCCCAAGAGGATACATAGGAAGCTTAATTTTTATAGTGTTTACAAAAATTAAGTTCAAGCCCTTCTTTATTTTTTATTTTTTTCCCTTTGATTTATTGTGCAAAATACATTACAATGTAAAAAATATTATAATATTTATACATTATGCAAAAAAGAATTTTTTTTCGTTTCAATGTTAATGTTTGATTTATACTTGAGAAAAAGTGTTCGATTTTTTTTATTTTTTCATTTAATAAAAAAACCGTTGAACCGTCGGTTCCAAACGATTTAGAACCGTCGATTTTATAGTTTCAAACCGGAACCGTAACCATCCATAGAAGGTTTGGTTCAGGTTCCCCTTTGGTAGAACCTTAACCGACGGTTCGAGAACCGTTACCATGTCTAGCCTATTGCAATACCGATGTTTCAAGTCGAAGTTGGCTATTGTTGTGGATTACGTGTTTGGTACATCTCTCAATGCTTTTATTTTTTGATTTTTTTATATGAACACCATCTATATGTCTCTAATCCATCTATGATATCTTTATGACTTAGGACGATCGTCTTTTTACGTCATTTTGTTTTTTGCGACAATAGTAATTTCTCAAGCTAGAAATAGCTATTATTGTATGTCGTATGTTTGATGTAGCCTTAGATGTTTTTACCCCTTGATTTATTTTATTTTATTTTGTTGTATGAATATCATCTACTTTTCCATAATCTCCTTGTTGAATTTCAAAATTTTAAAATATACAATGGTTTTCCATTTAAATCATTTTGTCGGCTAGAGTAGTAATAATTTGTCAAACAAAAATCGATATCTCGCTATATTTTGCATGTTTGATACATCTCTTGATGTTTTGATGTTCTATTTTTTTTTTTTTTTTAATGAGTATCTTCTATTAGACTTTGAGTTGGGCTAAAAATTTTAGAATTTTAGAATGTGTTACGGCCTTTTATCTAAATTTTGTATAATTATTGCTGCATTTATTATGTAGGACATAAAATCGTCAAGTCTCTTAGATTTAAGGACCGATGACGATTGCTTTTTTTTGTTATAATTAATAAAAGACATCCCATCTTGGGTTAACTAGAAAAATTAAGTTAAGCTAACAAGTCTCCAATTTAATAGAAACCGACGTTGGTCTCAACTTATTAATTAAAAAAAACTTAAAAAAAAAAAAAAGAACTAGTTAGGATAAATATAGATCATTGTTCTTCGACATCCCACCTTAACGACTAAAGCTAATTAGATCGTTCCTTGACAAGTCGGGACGTAACTATATGTGATGCTAAATTGACAAGACTTTTAGTTTTAGAGCTCGACATTAATTTAATAAAATTTCACAATAAAAATTAAAAAATCAATTTGACCTAAATGACAAACAAGTCTAAAAATAAAAAATAATTTAGCAAACGTAACTTGTAGAAGACACTTAGGATTAGGTTAAACCCGATACCTTTCCTTAAAAATGGTGTTTTGGGGTCATTATTATCTTTCAAAAAATATAACCAACTCCTTATCCGAAATCTCTAAATCCGATACCTTTCTTAAGTTTCCTATTTCCTTTCAGTACTAGGTGATGACTTCAAACTTTCTTAATTTTTATTCCTTAGTCAGATTTTGAAAGTTTAATATGTTAGGTAGCGACATCTATAATAGACAGCCCTCGACAGCTCAAAATTTTGAATAAAGAGCAAAAAAAAAAGAAAAAAAAAAAGATGGAAGAAACATCATTCAGCATTCGGTAAAGACCTAATGCTTTCATTGGATAAATATAAGGAAGACTTTGTAACAGTTTTTGCCTTCAGAGACTAAAATGGGACTGAATTTAGAACTCAGGAGACATTTACTAGCATTTCAGGAATGAAATAACCAGATTAAAACTATAACAGAACAAAGCATCATTAACAAAAGGCTCTAGCTTCAGTGGCTGTGTCGATACTATTCAAGTCCTAACTCAGCCTTGTATTAATTGTGAAAGAAAAAGGAGAACAAAGCTTCATTTGTATTAACACTGCCAATACCAGGTAATTAGTCATATAAGCATTCATTGCTGGCGTCTGTTCTATTTTATGCACTAATACATCCTTCATTCATGTATACTGGAAACTGTGGTAAGCAAAATGAATCGAGATGTGTACATTAAATATATGTTATTTGAGACAGTATCCAATTTTACGCAATTGAGATGAAGATACCATACCCTACCAATGAAGCCGGAAACTGGCAGCCTGCATAAGTGGGTGGGCAAAGTATACACCTAGAGTCAATGCAGTAATCAACAAATATGGCAGCCTCAAAAATTCTTTGTAATAATCTTTAGGTAACTTCTGACGACCATCAAGGATAGCTGCAAAAGGGACTATGCTTGTTCGCCTCTTTACAGATTCAAAAGCCTCCCCATATCTTATTGCTAATCTCCTGTCTCCATTCCAAGCACCAAATAAATGGTGTCCGATTAAACCAAGAGATGCAGCAACAGTTACAGAGTTCCCAATCCAAACTGTATGAGCCAAGCACCACATCACCTGCCCAACCATCTGTAAAGACATACAGCAATAAATGTAGATTTCGTTCAACTCTGTTTGTGTGTGTAAGTATGCATGCACACACGAGGCTGCTGTATGTCTTGGTGAACAGTTACAGAGTTCCCGAAGAGATGGAATGGACTCCATTCTCATGTCTTGACCGAAAGCTCACATTTTTTCAGCTAAAAAGATTAAATTCATCTCATCATAGTTAAGTATCACATGAGAGTCTTTAAATCACAAGTTGATTACTGGAATAGCTTAACAAGTGATTTTGACTCTTGGGCACCATCACGGTGATTGAAAACAAGTAACTTATTTTTCACTCTAATTATTGAAATAGGCAACAAGTTTCATTCAACTGCTTGGTAAAAGGCCAATCAAATAAATACCATACCTGTGGGTGTCTGGTGATTCTCATTATTCCAGTTTCCCAAAGATGCATTTTAGGCTTGTCAACAGCTGCTACTTCTAACAGATTAAAGGTTGACGGATAAAGGAAGAAGAAAGAGATAAAATTAGAAAGCCACGCAAGTTGATGCACCACAGGAGCACTTTGAAGATCCCATAACTGGATGCCGTCATATCTGTGATTGATGAAGTACACCTGCAGCACAGCCATTCAGATGTCAGCCAGGGGGCTGGATTGTATAGATGAGGAATTCAGAAAAACCACTGCAAGAGAATTCAGAAAAAACTGAAAAACCACTAAGTTTGCGAAAGGCTGCTGTTGTACAATGTATAAAAGGATCAGGAACTCACAACAGTGCTAACAGCCAATGGAAGAGAAACTCCTGCAAACAAAACACGATATGCACGTTCTCCAATAAGTTTCTCACCCATGTCTCTAAGACTCGCCAGGCCACTATGGACAGTGGCAAAGATGAGAATGAGGATGAACATTATCACCTGCAAACATTTCAAGTATGCTTCAATTACATGTAAAAAAGCAAAGTGATATATAGATCTCACGGGATAAAGGAACCAACATAACATATGAATATTTTCCATGCTGAATCTTTTACCTATCATTGACACAGTAAGTAATCTTATCTTTGTTTCATACACCTATAAGTCATCAACATCCACATATCTATTCGTGAAGAATTCTGCAAAATCTAGTTAATTCCTTTTCTATTACCGTAGATGCATAACTGCAAGAGTTGGAACTTTTCATTCAGTTGTTCCTGGTGACCATAAATACACTATTTCAGGCAGCACCATAGCATTCTCAAGTTAGATCACTAAAGCAAGTCGTCTACATCAGTCAAGCAAAAGGGTAAGCACCTCATCGAGATTAATGTATCAATGTATCCATTATTCAAAACCTTTAAAAGACTACTTTACACAAAAACATAATGTGGAGCATGGAATGCATAATAGCCACCAAAGCAAATCGTAGACTTCTTTGTGAGCAAACCTGACCTGACCGAAAGATAAACGAGCAGTCTCTCGCATCCATATTTCAAGTCCAAAATTGCACTTATCAGATATTTTTCACTCGCCATAAACATTGATAGCTATGACAGTCAACAGATATATATAGACTAAGTGATACATATGCTGCATAAATGGCTAAAGTTACAAGTACAATTCATAAGGTAGGCCTGCTCGAACCATTTTAGAGATAGATTTCTGTGATTTTCCACATGAGATTTCATATACTCAGTTCAGCAATAAAACAAAAAATAAATAAAACCCACCTCATGGCTTTCTGAGAGACTCGAAACAGCACTGATGAAGTCCTTTCCGAACCCAGTAGAGTTGTCAATCCAACCCACGTCAAGCACAAACAAAACAACACCCAAAATCAAACTGAAATATATCCAAGAAGTTATCTTCTGCTTCCCCAATTCGAACACGGCTGAATCCTCACCTGCAAACGGTGGGGGACCAGAGGTATCAGTGTCAGCATCTCCAGTGGAAATTCTTGCGGCAAATTTCTTGAAACCCAGAAAAGGAAGTGTGGGCTTGAGGAATTTTGGATTATAATTAGATGGTGGTTTTGTTGGATTTAGGAGAGTAAAAGCTGAGGTAGGCCTAAGCGTAAGAGGTTGTCGTCTAGAGGTTGGGTTATTGGGATGACGGGCTGAGGTAAAAGATGGGTTCGAGAGAAGAAAAGAGGAGGCCATTTTGTTGCTGAATACGAGAGGGAGAGGAAGAGGGAGAGAGAATCTCTGTTATTATAATTTATAATGGCAGGAGTTTGGCAGGCATTTTGAAGGGGAAGAAATATGGAATCCAGAGGAAGTGATGCTTTTGGGTGGGGAGTTTTGGATTTTTTGTTGGAAGGGAAGTGCTGTGAATCAGCAAAAACCACATGCACTTTGACAAAACCAGATTCACTGTTTATTGTCGAAATTTAGTACATGTTGCTTTAAATTTAATTCAATGATTTAAATTACAAAGCAGAAATAATTAATATTTTTATCGTATTCTGAATTATATTTATTCCAAATGATTGGCCTAATGGTTAAGGAAATTTTTTTTATTATTATTTAACTTTTTAGATAGAATTAGTATTTAAAGAAATGTATTGTAAACTCTTTTTATTTGACTTTTTAAGTTCAAACTTTAGAGTTATCACACAAAAAAGTTTAAGATAAATATATCTATATATTTTTATATAATACTCAAAGCCTTTTGTATATGTTTTTAGATTTTTAATTACATTATATTTATTTATAAAAATATTTAATTTATTCTTTTAATAAATTTTTATGGGCACCTAAAAAAATTTAACAGAAATATTTTTGATTAAAATGTAAAAAAAAAAAACAAGTAGGTTGTGTGAATTTAAATATTTTTGTTTTTTCTCATTTTAATAAAAGATATTTTGGTCAAATTTTTTTCATAATTGAAAAATTTTATCGGAATGACAGGTTGAATATTTTAAAAATTTTGAAAAACAAATAAAAGGTTTTTAGCATTATATAAAAAGAAATAGATATATTTATCAAAAAAAATTATTAAATTCATTTAATTCATCATGTAGGGGATAAATCCTTAACATCTTTCATAAAGATATTTAGTTACAATTTACGCACAATTAATAAAAATATTCTGACCGTTTAATGAAAAAGTATTAAAATATAGGAACTAACCAACATACATGTTCTATCACAACAGTAGTGCGTTAATGGAAAAAAAAAAAATGCTTTGATTCTTATCAACTTGGGACTAATAATATGAGGAAGGACTTGGCAATGAAAAATGATGCATTTTATCTTTTCAGTTAATTGTCATGTCATCGATTGATGGTAAAACTTGATTGAAAATTTTAAAAAGTTAATATATTAAAATAAATAAAAATTGATATATTTAATTGAGAAAATATTTAAAATTGATATATTGAAAATGTAATTATTCTGAAAAAAAAACAACGTAAGATATGGTTCAAAATATAACTCAGAATGTAAAATGTTATATATGCATTAACAAAAAATTGTGGAAGTCAAAGATATACATGACATTTATTTATAATAAAAAAATGATACATCAAAGTATGAGAATGAAATAGACATTTAATGTGAGAAAAATTAAAATCAATTTTTTAAGAAACCTACATTTTCAGTATCCAATTATTTATTTTTTTATTTTAGATACCCAACCTCTAATTTGGTTTTCTTATTTTAATGTCTAATTTTTATTTTTTATTTAAATGTTCACGATCATTTTAGAATATGAAATATCGATACAGCTAGAGTTAACTATCACGTGATATATTTTTTATTCCTATTTTTTATTATTATGCGGTAGCTCGACACATCAATAACAATGAATATCAGATAAAATAGAGCACAAAAACAAATTAAAAAAAAATTGAGTATCAAATCATTAAAAATTAAAATTGGATAACAAAACAGGAAAAAAAGAAAAAAAAAAATCAAAGTCTGGGCACAAAAAAACCTCTCTCTTGTACCCGAACCCATTGCGGCACTCTTCTTCTCGAGTCGATGGTAAAATCCTTTCCTTTTTGCCGCATTTTGAATAATAAATAGTGTTAACAAAGAGAGAATCAGCACCACAGCCGTGCATAGAATAGCTGGTCGTGCTGTTGCAAATTGAAGGGCACAGATTCAAGTGGGATTCTTAGAAACGGTAGCACAATAAACCCCTTCCTCCTTCCCAGTCCCAGCAATGGCAAACAGCAAATACGAGTATGTCAAGTCTTTCGAAGTTGAAGACGAGATCATGCTTCCTAATCTCATTGTTGTCCTAATTGGAGGCCACGATTTTCGAAGGTAAAACAAAACAGAACAAAACCCAGTTTTTCATTTCCAGGGAATTTTACTTATTAGTAGTACTTTGATTCTTATTGTAGATTCAGTGAAGTTCACGAATTTGAGAAGCCAAACGATGAGAAAGCCTTGAAATTGATGAACTCATGTGCTACTTTGGTTTTACAAGAATTCCCTGATATTGTCTTCTCTTTTGGCTTCAGTGACGAATATAGGTGCTGGTCTTCTTCATTTGTTTTTTCTTTTCCCGTTAATCCTTTTCTTTTTTGCTAATATATTATTGGGTGCAGTTTTGTTTTCAAGCAGACAACTAAGTTCTACCAGAGACGAGCCAGGTTCTTGAACGTTTTTATTACATATTGTTTTTTGTCTTTATTCTTGGTGAGGTATTTATTTATCCACTGTGTCGCAGCAAAGTTGTTTCCATCATTGTATCTTTCTTCACCTCTGCATACACCACAAAATGGAAAGACTTCTTCCCCGAGAAAGAATTGAAATACCCCCCTTCATTTCATTCCCGGGCTATAGTCTGTGCATCCCTAGAGGTTCTACAAGAATATCTTGCGTGGAGACAACAGCATTGTAAGTATCAACCCAAGATAGTTAGCAAACACCCAGTTCGCTGCAATTTGTAAATGCCAATTATTTGTATTCGAGCAAACTTTTGAGAAGCAGAAAAGGTGTTGAGGCGCATGGGTTATGAAGTATCATATGTGTTTCTTGGTTTTTGCAGGCCATATTACCAATCAGTACAGCACTTGTCTTTGCAAGCTCGTTAAAAGTGGAAAGACTGAAAAGGAAGCGCTTGACATTTTGAAGGTGCTTAGTTCTTCTTCCCCTTCTTCTGGAATCTGTATCTGGAATTTGTTTTGTGAAAACTTTTACATTCAATTGTAAATATATTAAAATTGTGTTGTTATCTCCTATCTTCCCTGTATGCTTTTATTCTATCATCTCTCTATATAAATTTCATTTTGGCTCTGTAATTGTTCGTTTTTTTATGCTTTTAAGTCTTCACTTGTATTCCTACAGGCTACATGTCTTTCATTTGTCTTTTCCACAGGGAACTCAGAAACAAGAGCGAAATGAGCTTCTCTACCGACAGTTTGGTATCAACTACACAACTCTTCCTCAGATATTTCGTCAGGGTTCTTGTGTTCTCAAGAATGAGGTTATTCCTATCCTATTTCAATCACATTTGTGTTCTCAGTGCTGGTACTTCTAGGATATATGTTGAAGAATACATTCATATACTTGTGCTTCTTCTTCAGTATAATTTGTAACAAGTTTTGTCTTGAACCATGAATTGTAATCTCTTTCTAGTCCTTGCTAACTTTGTAAATGCTTTTGGACTATTGTAATCAATTGCACTCCTTATATCTCCCTGATTATACTTTAAAGTTTTCAAGTTAATGCTTTTTTTGGAGCAATTTTTCAGTTACACTGGAAGTATACTTCCTCGCTCACAGACAACAGTTATCATGATGCATCCCACTTACACACGATAGATAGGGAGTATACTCCCTCCTTTTGATGTTTGTAGGTAGAGGATATTGTGAAGTACAGTGAGAATGGAACACCTGTTAAAAGAATGCGGAGGGATGTAACAACAGTCCATTCAAAGAATATTGCTGGAAGAAAATTTTGGAATGAGCACCCAAGTCTTCTTAAAGAGCTGGGTGGTTTTACGAAGGATGTTGGCAAAATTAATTCAGATTACGTTAGGTCTTTCCTTTTTGAAAGCAAATTGATGTCCTCTACTTGGATTGTGATTAGAATTGATGGGTGTCATTTTCACAGGTAAAAGTGCCGTGGGATTGGTCATTTTTACTAAATTTTCAAGCTAACAAATCCGTCTTTTTTTTTCCTTGTGAATGAACAATAAGTCTCATTTTTTTATGCATAACTGCTCCTGTATTATCTGTTGTTTTTTGGAATTCAAGAATGTCTTCTTGTATGCAATTATATGTTCTTTGCTGCTTAGAAGTTGAGAATCCCTTGATTAGGTAGATTGATTGGTATATGATGAATTAAATCGATGTATTGACAATCTAAGACTTGGCAAAACTCAAAAAGTGTCCTTTAACCTTGCTCTGGATTCTCTCTCTCTCTCTCTCTCTCTTTTTTCCTGTTTCGAAGTGACTGTATGGTCATGCCTCTTAAACATTGAATTTAACATATTATCTCTGTGGATAAGCGGATGACTGAAAACTTGTGAGATCATGGTGAAATTAACTGAAAAATATTTAGAACGGTGGTATGGTTACTGTTCCAATCATCAGCAAGTGACTTTCAACTCCAATTACATGTTGCTATCAAGTCTCTGATGCATGAAATTTTGTTTGTTGGCTACCCTACTATGGTGTTACAATGGAACTTAAGAGTTAAGTTATATTGTTTATGGTAGATTTTCTGAAGTACATGACTTTGAGAAGCCAAATGATGAGCAAGCTCTGAACCTTATGAATTCATGTGCAGTGGCCGTTCTACAAGAATTTCCAGATGTTGTTTTTTCTTATGGTGTCAGTGATGAGTACAGGTACTGAGTATGTTGTCTTTTTTTTTTTTTTTTTGGGATATCTCGACACTCTGTTTGTTTCTCTTTATGTAATATATCTCGTTGTCCAACTCCCAGCTTTGTGTTGAAGAAGGATTCTCAGTTTTGCCAAAGGAAAGCAAGGTACACTTAAGGCATTTTCTGAGCTGACATTCAAGTGGGTTTGGGAGAAAAGCAGAAGTAACTATCATTTGATAATCACCAAAGAGCTTGTAACCCAGTGGTAGTGCTCTCTGGCAGAGGTCACGGGTTCAAATCCTAGCAGACTAGTTCTGCTAGGAGCCTTGGGTGTGTGAGTTAAAAAAAAAAAAAAAAAAGACTATCATTTGATAATCTCGTTATATTTGCTTGTTGAGGTGCCCATGTGCCATAAAAGAAACAATGTTGATTTCAATGCTTATACTCTAGTGGTCTAGAAATATGAATAGCCAATGAAATTTAGATCCTTTGTGGGAAGTTCTTGTGACGTTACGAAATTTGTGCTACCCCTCCTCTACCCTGTCAAGTGCAAGGCCAATGACTGAAACTGAATTATTTTAGGCCATCCTCTGCATTTTAACCCAGCTGTCCACTGCACTCATAGACTTAAGAAGGGAAAAGCTCTCACTAGTGTGCATGCCTGTTGCTGATGCACCCCAATGTTTGGCAATGACTCTCGGTGTAAAATATTCTTTTGGATAAAGACTTCTAAATAAGCCCCTCCATATGTCACAATGATATAATAAAAATTGAAGTGTTCTTTGTTGACAAAGTATGTATTTTATAGAAAGCTTTTTCAGCAGAATATTGTTTTTCGAACTTCTTGTGCTTGAGAGATTCAAAATCATTTTGTTCCTTTAAACAATTTATAGAAGTTGTTGATTTTACTCCAATTTAATCAACTCAGGGAAGAAGTGGTTCTCTAGTGAATCTTTCTAAAATCAATGTCCTTTTTATCTGAATTAGGGCAGTCAGGTTTTGAAGTTGTTCTGTCTAAATGTGTCATTTCAGTCCTTTTATTCTTACATATTGGTTGCAAACAATTAGTTTGCTATTTGGTTTTCTTGACTTTTTTTAACTGATATATTGTTGGGATTCGTTCTCAAAAATCATGTGCAGCAACATTGTGTCTATTATGGTATCATTCTTCACCTCAACGTATGTGATGAATTGGAAAGCATTCTTCCCCCAGAAAGAATTGAAATATTCTCCGGCTTTTGATGGAAGGGCTGTATGCTATCCATCAACTGAGATTCTTCGACATTACCTGGCCTGGAGACAAGTTGATTGTGAGTAGTCTTGACTGATTTTTACTACTTTGCTTAAGTGTTTGTACAATTCTTGGACTTTTGAATCTATAAGCCAACCAATGCTGGTTTTACCAGCACTGCATTGAGGCTTGATTTTCATGTTGGCTGGCAATTGAATTTGCTCATTTAACATGCTTATAAAACCCTATGTTGATGATCACAATCTTCTGTGTTCTCCGGGTTTGCAGGCCACATCAACAATCAGTACAATACTTGTTTCTGGATGCTTGTTAAGTCTGGAAAAAGCAAAAGTGAAGCTCAACGTACTTTAAAGGTGCTAATCTCCACCATCTCTGCCACTTTTAATTATACTCATTGTATTTGCTTTTCTATACTTGTTAATATTATTTTAGGTGTTGAAGAGGATGGACAAGATTTGGATGTTCATCTCATATTTGTGTTTCTCAATTCTTTTGTTCTGCAGGGAACTCAAGCGCAAGAGAAAAAAGGAATGCTTGCTCAGTTTGGTATTGATGACTACAATGCATTACCAGTCATGTTTCGGCAGGGTTCTTCCGTTTTCCTGGTACATATCGTTTGTTCTTCCACAGAAACTACCAGTACAGCATTCGTGAACATTAACTGTCCAAAAAAAAAAAAAAAAAAACACACTACATGACAAGAAAATGTCTCTCATGATATAGGAGTAGAAAATTAATGGTTGATTAAGCCAGTTCCATGGATTGCTTGTTTCGGTCTGGCCTTAAGAGTAACCTTTATCCAAGTTAGAGCCCATTAAGAAGAAACAGCCCACATTTCCAGCCAGATCTTGTTACCAACAAATGCTACCATTTCGCCACTGTGAAATGACCAGGCAGAATAACTGTAGTTTCATGTTTCTTTGGTATTTCTGGTTAAATATCCTTTAAACTGTGATATGGGGCCTGAGATGAATGCTATTTGATTGGGTGAGTAATTAGGTCCACTTTATGCATAGAAGCATATTAAATCATGATCTGAGGCATAAATTGAAGGTGAATCTTACAATATCAATTGTTTTCTCCTCCTTCCATTAGCACAGAATCATATTCTGCTGATCATTGCTCTAATATATTGATTGTATTAATATCATTGTGCTTTAATATATGTTCATCTGCCTGCAGTTTATTTCATGGTCTTCTAGCTATTCTTTTCTTTGTGTGTGTGCATGGGATTCTGTGAGAGTGAGTTTGTGGGAAGCTGAAAAAGGATAAATATTGGTGACAAACATTACTTAGCAGTTAAAGAAAGCACTCCAGTTTCTGGATGTACATTTCAATTTGTCTTGTATCCGACATTTAACCACTATAGTTTTGAAAAGATTGTGGTGATGTAGCCCCTTACTTATTTGAATGATGAGGATGATTCATTATAACTATTGGAACAGCAGCAGTATATTAAAATCGAAGGATAAATGTTTATTATGAGTCTGGCTGTGACCTTCATTGGACATCCTAATTTGTTTTTAGGAGATTTAATGGAAGAACTTAGAACTGTTTTCAACAATGTTTCTAGCTTAGGATGGGAGAACAGGTGTATTAATAATCACTCCTCTTCTTACTTGTATCCAACTACTATGCAACATGTTTAAACAATTGGCACTTTTTTCTTAACTGCTGAATTTGAGATTTGTTTTGTATGCAGGATGACCGGGTCCTATATGGAAACAGAGCATCTGGTGAAAAACCTTGTAACAAAGTAATTGTAGAACATTGTAATATAATTGAGCAGAGCTTTTGGGAAGAACACCCAAGCATCCTTGAGTAGGAGCGTTAGACACTGAGTAACGAACTGTCCATTTGTGCGACGTAGAAAGCTCCAGAATCATCGTTCAAGTCCTCATGAAATTGCTGCCCATGCATCGGCAGTAAGCTCTGGAAATCCTACCTTGCTGACTTGAAATATTATCATATTGTGTCTACGGCAGTGAGATAGAGGACGTAGGTAAAGTTGGAAGTGATTTGTACCTTGCTTCCTTGCAATATTATCATATCGTGTCTACAGCAATGAGATAGAAGACTTAGGTAAAGTTAGAAGTGATTTGTGAAGCTGCTGGTGGAAATTTTCGGTTTCGTTACTGGTACACGAATTTTCTGAGAGAACAATTTTGCTAATTATGTTGAAAGTTCTATTTTTATTTCCCAAGTCTAATGCCAATTGCATCGGAATTCTCATAAAACCAAGACAACTTACAAATTGAGTTACATAAAGACACCTTTGAAATGGTTTTCTTTATGCATCCTTTCTCTTTCTTTCTTTTTTTGTCTGACCTGCATTCGGTTTTGCCCCCTGCTTTATTTCAGAAAATTCACTATAACATGCAGATAGCCATTGTGCAGGGTTATGATGGGCCATGTACACTAGTCCATAGCAGTAAAATTGTTTTTTTTTCCTCCTCTGTTTTGATCAGGCAGTTAGAAATTTTATACGTAACTCTATCCTCGGTCCGCAGCGATGCGTGGGTTTGTATAGGTGTAGAACACAATCAACAATAAATTATAGAGAAAAACCAGCAAACCTAAAATTTCAAGTGTCTGTGCTTTGTAAAAGAATCAGTCTTTAAAGTTGGAGGGAACATCCAAATAGCTTAGGTATTTGGTTTTAACCATTACGTTAGGGTTTCGCCTTTTTTTTTTTTTTTTGTTCTCTCTGGTACAGCGTTAACTTTTGCACATTGAAATAAGTTCTTTCCGTTTTAAATCTCGAACATGTAATCCACATTCAAACGGGCGCATTTGTAAAACAATTTCTTTCCTACAGTATTCGAAGATTCTAAAAAACTAGTTCAAGAACTGAAATTCAAAAAAATAGAACTAGTTCAGAAATGTCAATCAAACGGAAATTAAGGTTTTTGTAAGCATTAGCCCAACACATAGAAGATGCCAAATTATCTGCTTCGATTGGGACTTCCGCCCGTCAGTGATGAAATCGAAAATTTGGTTAATGTTCTTTGGCACTCTTTCCTTTTCTCTTGAACGAACTTCCTCGAGGAGAACAATTAAGAAATAAGTAAAGGTTAATGAAGAATTGGCAATTACTACATAGTACAGTCGTTTTCTTTAATTAAGAATTGGCAATTACTACATAGTACTAATAACATGGAGAAGACAAAATTGTTTCAAATACTGCAAGAACCAGAAACGCTCCTTGTTTCATAGAGAAGAGGATGAGTTATTCGCATTTCAATTGATGGTTAGAAGCGAATTGAAAACCAAGCATCGGTAATTCTAATGATTTCCCAAGGAAAAAATAGAGATGTCTCATACGCTACCTTTAATATGTGGAAGTATCGACGTAATTATAGAGTCATTCGGTAATCGTTTTCTTTTCTTTACTTCAATAGTTTTTTTGGTTGTTGAGAAATCCAGTTAGCACATTTTTGGTTGAACAAAAGAGACAGAGGTAAGTAACTAGAAAACCAAGATGGCATTGAGGCTTCGTTTGTTTGGGAAAAAACAACTTTCAATAGGAAAAGCAATTATAGAACAATTATTTTTCAGGAAGTTGTTTTTTCAAAAAAAAAAATTTTCCGACGTTTGACAATGACGCAAAAAAACTACTGAAAAATATATTTTAACAAACTATTTCAACGTTTGTTTGATATAGAAATTGAAATACAAAAACGAGGTTGTGATTGTTACAAAGAACGAGTTTTGAACAAAAGAGACGAGAGGTAGTTAACTAGAAAACCAAGATGGTATTGAAGCTTCATTTGTTTGACGAAAAACAACTTCTAATAAGAAAACAATTCTAAAAAAGTTATTTTTTAGGAAGTTTTTAAAAAATATTTTTTGATGTTTGACAATTACATGAAAAAATGCTGAAAAATATATTTCAAAACAAACTATTTCAATGTTTGTTTGATACCAAAAACTCGAAATACAAAAACATGTTGTGATTGTTACAACAATGAGTTTTGAAGGAACTTCAACAAGTCATATTTATAATCTCACAATATAAAAATTGTTAAAAAATCTCACATCCATAATAATCCATATATAAAAAAGCTACCAAAACAAAACATATGAGTTAATGAAATATTGGTGTACCAAAACGGAAAACGTTAGTTATAATCAATAACATATCAAGACAGAGACATATGATGTTGAAATATCATTTGGATCATAATTTTTTTTTTTCCTATTTGGATGTAGGAAATATTTTAAATCAATGTACAATTAAAACTAAATCTTTTTTCGAAAGATTTTAAAAATCAATCAAATGCATTTAGAAAAAAGTAATAAATTTTTATAAATATTGATTCTAAGATTTAAATTCAAAAAATCAAAAAAATAAAATATACATTTTTAACCATTAAATCAATTTATCAAAACTACTTGGGACAAAATCAAGTCAATATTTACATTTAGTAAAAAAATAAAAAAAATTCTAAGTAATCCTAGCATTGTTATTTTGGTAACTCAATTAAGAATTCTCTTTGTTTAAATTTAAATGATAATTTAGTCTAAAAAATATTTTTACAAATTATTAATTATCATTTATAGATAATTATTCGTTTGGTTTCAAAAGATTACTCGTTTGAATACTTTGTAAGTAATTATTGACTACAATTACTAACAAAATTTTACAACTGATTAAAATTAGTCACAAATTATTGATTTAGTTACAAATGAAGAATATTGGTAAATAATGTATTTATTAGTGAATTAATTAATTTTAAATTCTTCACAAATGATTACGGCTTTGTAATAATCATTTTTAATTATTTAAATATAGTTTAGGTGGTGTTTGGGATAATGATAAAAAAAAAAGATAAATTATTGAAATATTTATTATAAAAATAATTTTAAGATGTAAAAATAATTTTTAAGAATATTTAATGTATTTATAAATCGAAAGATCAAATATTAGTAGAAATAGAAAAAAAAATGATAATAATTGATAAGAAATAATTAAAAATTAATTTGATATATTTTAAATAAAAAAGAGACATAGAAAAAATATATTAAAATATATCGAGAGAGAGGTGAGAAACGCAAGAGCGAAACAACTCGTGGGAGAGTGAGAAAATGTTTTCTTCTTTTTTCGATTTGAACATCACTTTTTTAAAAATACTCTATTCATTTTCATCGATCGGAAATCAAATTCTGTTGATTATTTTTCTTAAATACAAAACAAACATGAAAAATAAAGAAAACAAACACAGCCTCAGTCATTGGGTGGTAACTTCAGCTTTTCTTCCTTTCTTTTCCACAAAACGAAAAAGATTCAAAGATGAGGATAACTTGTTGAGAAAATAATAAATAAGGGGAGGAAAACATGATATTCTGCATAGCTAGCTTTCTGTCTTTGTCTAGGCTTGTAAGTGTCTCACAGTCACAGTCCCACTCAACCTTTTTAGGAAACAAAAACGCACTCGAGCCAATCCTTGAATGCTATTAGAAGAATGTCCCTTGGGATTCACTCTATCTATGAAACAAAGTTAGTCCACATCACAAAGGAGTTCATGCTAAGAAATCGAAGAAAAAGAAAGAAAATAAAAGATCAAGAGAATGAAGATCGACTAGCTAGAAATGATTGGTGGCTTAATCTACAAGAGAGGCAAGTGAGAGATGAGCCCACCTCTAAGAGAATAATCAAAATCAATAAAGAAAATATATGATGACAAAAATATTGGTTTGTGGGGCTCTTTCTAATCTACAAATTGGAAGCAAAAATGTATACTGTTAGGTTGAGTTGCACAGTTTAACTAATTAACCACCCACTCCAACCTACTCCATAGAGTCTCATATTACTCTCACACATGCATTGAGCACCAAAGTTGGGTAGATCTCAACATTTCCAGATACAAATCATTCTAGCTTGTTCATAAAGACAACCTACGGCAACCCAGCAGAACAGCTGGCTCTATATATTTTGACGTCAATTCTTTCCATACTCTAATTTCCTTATTCTCATCCAATCCTGGCTCTACTCCTGAATGCATGCATGCCCTCATAGATTTTGTGTTTAATTTTGTTCTGTAAAGAGGAAATGAGAGATCATATGGAAAGATTCGTAGTTCTTCCATTCTCCGTCGGCTGTGATTCTCAGTCTAGTGTTGATGTGGTCAGCAGTGAACTCTGCAAGAAACCAAAACCTGAAAGCAAATCACATGCAACAAGTATTATTCTCTCCTCCCCACCTCTCAGTCATGGACTCTTTTTTTAACTATATATGACTATTTTAATTAGCATTTAACTTTTTTCTTTTCTTTGCTGTTTTTTAAAAGGAAGACAAGAAGGGGAAGAAAGCTCTTGTAAAGAAAAGATGAAGAGTAATACATTCGGTTTCCTGGCTCTTCCAAAACCTAACATATCCAGTGGAATACACAGACTGATTAGGGGCATTAAAAGTCTCTCCCAAATATTTGGTAAGTCATTACTGTTTTTATTTCTTGTCCAGTAATGCAATAATTAATAGCCTAAGACATCAGTAATCACATAGTACATCTTAATAAGATGTACAACCTAGAAGAAATCGAAACTAAGTAGAAGGGTAATTGGATGCCTGAATTAGGACAGGAATGTCCAGTCCAGGAATGCTGAAAGCATCTATTCATCACCTTCTGTATAAAATGGCTGTTGTGAGATGACTTCGTTTGGAAATAAAAATCTGCAGGGACCATTTCTCTGATGTATGAAGATCATGTTCATTTTGGGAACTAGACCCTTTTACTTTTTTGGTGGCCATTAATTTATCCTTTCTTTCAATGCCCATCCTTCTGTTTCCGGACCATACATTCTTATCTATGGAATTATTATTATTATTATTTTTTCCTTTTTCCTGCATCATTGTTATTTTCAATGTGAAAGGTACTATACGTCCCTCTCACCTTTTTATTTATCTTTTATTTTTTAAAATTTTTTTTATGGAGTACGCTGGGGTTAATCATAGATCGATAGATCACCATATGATCAACTAAGTTAACTGACGTTTGCTAATTAATTTTAAAGTTAGTCTCAAACTTTCTGAAGTTGCAACTAATTAAATCAATAATGGGTGAATTAATTTATGTGATAACTTCTAAATATATATATCTCTAGATGAGGAAAAAATGAGTTAAAAATGTAAGATAAGATCTCGAATTAGGGATTGATTGGAAAACGTTTCATATTGACTAATTTTTCAGCATTTCTTATGAAAAAATAAGGGAAAATATTTTCATAAAAAAATATTTTTCACGAAACAATAAATTAAACAAACCCTAAAATTTAAATCCCAAGTTTAGTCAATAAGGTCTTCATGTTATCTTTCAATATTTTTCTTAGTTTTTTAGCAGTCTGTTACATGCATATCATGAAATCTTGTCCTTAATTACTCCACCTTAATTTGGTTGGTAATGCAGTGTACAAAGAAGAAAACGAGGAATTAATTATGGAAAGAGAGATGGAAATCGGATTTCCAACTGATGTGAAGCACGTAACACACATAGGATTGGATGGTACTACTACAACAAATGCTGTTAAGGGTTGGGAAAGTCTGAAACCTCCAGAAATAATTTCATTCCCTTCAATTTCTTTACGGCAGTTCGAGCTTGCTATGGCTGCACAGGCACATGCACCTCTTGTTGAGGTCGATCATTCCAGGCTCGGTTGATATGAAATATTGAAATTCTTTTGCATGTCCCGATCTTGTTTCTTTTTAACTCCCAGATGAATGATGTGATAAAGAGTGATGATCCATGTTTTTGATGGAGGCACCGGTTGCATTGATGTGATCTTGATCTGCGTACGTAATGTGTATACAAGTTTACTTGACCCTTTTTTTTTTTGGACATTGATTCAAATTGTTCTTGCAATCCTAATTTCCATGTCTGCTTGCTTTGGGTTGGGATGGGATACCACGTTAAAGGGCCGCACCAGCAGGGTGTTAGCCAGAGGTTCTTCCTTAGAGAGGAGTTGGAGGATACCCATGAACGAATAAAAAAGAATCCACTTGTTGGGTTGGGTACGTGTAAAATTGTGTGGACTCTTCAAAGGTTTGAAAGTATCACACAAACATTTCTTTTGTATTCAAATTAATATTCTTAAAGTTTTGATTTTTTTGAGTAAATTACTATGAATAAAATTTGAGAGTGGTTGGGTTTTTTGTTAACTAAAATTCAATATTGTAACCAAATTCTTTTAGGAATTAAAATCATGCTCTTGTGGTTGATAAGGAGATTTCTACAAATAAACTCTTTTAAATTCGTTTTAGGATCATGTTTTAAATATTTTTGTTTCTTTCAGCTTGAAAATATTAATTTTCAGATTTTAGAAGGTTTTTTTTTCCTTATGGTTGATAATAATTTTTGTTTTTGTTTCTTTTAAAATATAAAATTTAAATTTTTTGATTTTTTGATTTTTTTTTTGGATTCAGATCTTGATCTTCTTATGACAGTTATATTCATTAAATCATAATCATTAAAATCAAATTGGATAAACATAATTGATTTAGTGCATAAAAAAATAATAACAACATAACCCTTGTCAATGATTATATTTGAAACATGAGAGATCCAAATCTCTATTTTTTTTTTATTATTATTATAAAGTTTTGCTTACTAAATTACGCGACACCTACTATAAGGAATGGATTTGAAATCATAGAATGTAAAATTGATCATATTTAATGTGATCATTATAATTATGAAAATTAGTGAAAAAAAAATATTTCTAGCATTATCCTTTCACATATATATATATATGATTTAGATTTTTTTTATTCTACAATAGAGATAAAATTGACCAACTTACAATTAAATCTCTCCAAACAATATGTTAAAAAAAAATTGGTTTCTTTATATTTATATATATAAAGGGTATTCTCTTTAGTCAAGTTATGTACAAGAAATTTTATAATACTTAAGGAATAACTAATATACATATACATTAATTACTCTATGAATCAATTTTTGAAAAAAAGATAAACACTAAAAAAAATAATAATAATTATATCTGGACCCATAAAAAATATTAAAAAAATTTATAAGTTGATTCAATTTTTTTTTTAATTTTTTTCTCTTATTTCTGTCTCTTTCTTGTGTCTATTTTTTTCTATTAAGTAAAATTACACTGGTTACTCTTTAATATTATAAAATTTTTCCTTGCTACCAAACTAAATATTTTTCTACATTTAAGGATGCTGACCCTATCCAAAAATTAAAAAAGAAAACAAACCTCAAAATGCAGCGGCCCACTCCTGATTGTGATATAATTTAAAGACAAAAGAGGGTTAAAAACCCAAACCAATGAAGCCTTAAAGGCGAGCCCAACAACACATCCGATTTATATTACTCCGCAGCAAAAGGGCTCCGCGTCTTAGCTCCCTATCTCAAAAACAAGGGTTTTTCCAGCTCGCCAGGCAGAGTAGAGAAGCAAAGGCAAACGTTTTCTTGCATTATCGAATCGCCGGCGTCGCCATGGCTAATACTGCTCCCAGTTCGTATTCTCTCTCTCTCTTTTGTTTATATCTGACGGACGGTTACGATCTGTAATTAATTTTTTTGAGTTCGTTGCAGCAATGGCAAGGTCTTTCCTTCAGGTTGCAGCCACAGAGGAGGTTGCTCCCCCTCTTCGTGTTGTTCAGATTGAAGGACTGGTACTCTTTCATTATTTAATTTAACAATATTAAAATTTTAAATTAGACTGTATAATAATTAAAATAGAAATTTTATTTTTTAAATTAAAATAAAATTTATATTTCTTAAATTAAAATTTACAGGTTGTGTTGAAGATAATCAAGCACTGCAAGGAGTTTTCTCCATCTTTAGTGACTGGGCAGCTTCTAGGATTGGATGTTGGTAGTGTTCTTGAAGTTACAAACTGTTTCCCTTTCCCGGTATGCTGATTGTTATAATTTTTTTTTTTTAATTTTAGAAAACTTCTATTGGTTTCCGCATTTAGTTAGATATGGTTATTATTATTGTGCAGATTAGGGAAGAAGATGAGGAGATTGAAGCAGACGGTGCTAATTACCAGCTTGAAATGATGAGGTGCTTGAGAGAGGTCAATGTCGACAATAACACTGTTGGATGGTTAGTTTTTTTTAGTAGTTCTTTATATTTTTTGGCTAAAAGATTTTTCCTTCTCGATTGTTTTGGTCGAAGTTTCTGTGTGTTTTATTGGTTTTTTATACGTGGTTGCAAGTTTTCTAGGATTAACAACATCCTACCTTGTCGTTTATGTTGAGATTGAAGTACCTGATAGGATTACTTCTGATAATTTATGTGACAATCCATCCTCTCTTCATTACTGACTTTTGTTGCTATCTAGGTTCCTTCCCACCTTTTTTTTTTTTTATCATTTCAATTCATCATCACTCTTTAGGAAAAAAACCGAGTTCTTTTTCTTTCTTTCTTTTTTTTTTTTTTTTGTAGAAGCAAAGGATTTGAAAAAAAAAAAAACTATTCTTTGCTCTACAGTTGATCGGTTATGTTCATTGTTATGGGCTTTAGGCTCTTTTTAGCTTTCCTTAAAAGGAATTTGTTTTTTGAATTTTTTTTTAGTGATAACTTGGCCAATAGTTTTTGTCTGGTTCACTGGACCAGTCAACCATCAAATTATTTGGGAAGGATTATTTTTTACCTGATTATTGTTTTTTTACCTGATTATTGCATGTGTGTATTTATTTCTTCATTGCCAATAAATGGCAGTTCAAAAAAAAAAAAAAAAGGAATGGTTTTCTGCTTTGAGTATAAATTCTTGGGGTTTGTGGATTTTCCCTAGTAAATGATATTTTATTAGGAGAATCCATTTGGAAAGTTTCTGCTTTGAAGCTAATTTTTAAATGGTTTTATATCTGTGTGGTGTCACCTCAATGTGTATTGGTATCAATAATAGGATACACATAAAAGCATGCGTCTATCTCTTCTCTGAATGTGTTTAATGTCCATTACAAGAGGTCACAACAGGGACTTATTTGCACTTTATGCTATGAGTTCATTACTGTCATTGATTCTTTCTCATAACATAACAAATTTTACTTCAAATCAAATGTGTGTATGCATCTGCATGTTCATGTCTAGAATATGCTGGTGCAATCGATGACTCGTTACTCTCTTCTCAATGCTCAGGTATCAGTCAATGTTGTTCGGTTGTTTCCAAACAGTGGAATTGATTGAGACATTTATGAATTACCAGGTACTGGGGTTTAATAGCTGTTTTCTTTTTTGACATTGCATGCGCCCAATTTGAGTGATATATGCATTTTCCCTGTGCTTATTTTTGTTGTCTGAGAAGTTAAAAGTGTGGAAATATGAAAGAAGCAAATGACAATAGAAAGTTAGCATTGAACTATGAAAGAAGCAAGTGACTGTTTAGCTGATAAGTGGTTACCTTACTGATTTTTTTTTCTTTACATTGGAAAAGGTAAATATTTTGCTTGCTAGGATAATTTTTGGCTTTTCTCCCATTAAAAACAGCAATCCTGAAACAGAAACTAGTGTGGTCTTTTCTGTTTTCCTAAAATTACATATGCATACTTGAAAGTGAAGCATGACTTAGTGGGAAGATCAGCTTGAGCGTATAGGAATTGATAGTGGAATGTTTTTTATTGTTGTACGTCCATCGACATGGTAATTTGACGAAATGAAAATGGGGTCTAGGACTTTTGTTGAGTCCTGTGGAAGGAAAAGAACAATTGAGGGTGAGAACAATCCTTCCTTCTTCTTTTATGGATTGCTGGGTGAAGTTTTATGTTAATGGTGGGAAGGAAAGTCTTTCGGTAGTTCATCATTTATTTTGCATATGTAATGCTTGAGGCATATGTAAAGCATTTGTATTTATGGTGTAGGACAGCCCTTAAAGTTTAGATTTTAAGGGTTATTCTACAATTATGATGCTGGATCTTTAACTACTGGACCTAAATACTGAGATTTTCAGGTTGTAGCAGATGTGGTGGGTTACGAAATTGGGGAATGGGTTATAGGTGAGAATTGGGATATGTTCAAGGGTATATAGTGATAAAAATAGGTAAAGGATATGAGATTTATAAGTTGAGCTGGAAATAAATTTAAAAGGCTACTAGCACCTCACTTGTATGGTCTCTAGTAATCACACCTAGAAGATAGAAAACCCTAGTATTGCTTCTAGGATTCTTAGGAGCCACCCTTGAGATAGATTGTACCATGCAATCCCAAAGCATATAGCTGAAATTCTCATTCATTCATTCCTCCTCCAAAACTGGGTGCTTACAAACATATATATAAAGCAAACAGATGCTCCTAAGGTGGAGCCAGGTGGCCATTCACTACTTAAGAGTGAAGCAGTTGACTGGTCAACTTTCAGAAAATTATGATATTACCCCTGTGAATGACAAAATCACAGAACTGCCTGTGGCAGTTTAGACAACAACCACAATCACACCCACCCCCCACCCAAAAAAAAAAAAATCTACTTTTTGGTGGTTTATTTAAATTTTTACAGTTTTGAAAACTAACTAAGATGGATACGAACTTAGTATCCTGTTTCAGGAAGCAGGCTTTGAATATGTTAAGAATTTATTTTGGTTGCCATTACTTTGTATTGTAGCTTTACTCTCCATTGTTTCACTTTTTTTTTTCTTTTTTTTTTTTTTTGAATGCAGGAAAATATTAGACGGTGTGTTTGTATAATTTACGACCCTTCAAGAGCTAATCAAGGTGTCTTAGCTCTCAAGGCTTTGAAGCTTTCTGATTCTTTCATGGAACTATACCGCAATAACAATTTTACTGGGGAGAAGTAAGAAGCTTTCTGAGGCAAAATTGGATAACTGTATTTGATCTATTTAATGTAATCTCTGATTTCTCTTTTGCTTCCACAGGTTGAGGGAGAAAAACTTGTCATGGGTGGATATTTTTGAAGAAATTCCCGTAAGATTTTGAATCTTTTTTTTTTTTTTTTTATATGCAAGATGAATAAAAAATTGCATGATTTCATTGAATTGTAAAAAATGTAGCCTGAAGAAGGGTACCTGTTTCTATTTGGATAACATTCTTCCTTTTCTACAGATCAAAGTTTCAAATTCTGCACTTATTAGTGCCTTTATGACTGGGCTAGAAGCTGATACACCAGTGACCCAGGTACTTTTTTTTTTTTTTTTTGAGCGACTGTTATTTGGGAATCTAAACTTCATGTTTGTAATTTTTCTTACTCCTGTTTTCTATGCCAGTGTGATTATGACCGCCTGCAATTATCAACCAGTCCATATTTGGAAAGAAATGTAGAATTTTTGATTGAATGCATGGATGATTTGTCAATCGAACAGCAGAAGGTTGGTGTTCTTGTTATCCACTATTACTGATCAGAATGACATGTTATCCTAACATGATAATGCCTTTGCAGTTCCAATATTACTATCGGAACCTGTCACGCCAGCAAGCTCAACAGCAAGCATGGCTTCAGAAGAGAAGGTAAAGTGTTGGTTTAATTGTTCGCTGCTCCGTGGCTGTATTTCTCTTTATTTGGATGGATGGTGCCATGTTTGGGTTTACATAGGTTGGGAATTCTACTGATCCTTGGAGTGCATTCTGATTTATCAAAGCATGAGGTGTAACTATTATTTAAAGATAGTCCCTTCCTTTTGCTATAGATACTTTGTTGTTGGGCACTTGACACTGTTTCCCTTCAATGGTGTAAGGACCACTGGGCACTTTTCTAAGCCTAAGAAATCAGTTATCCTCACACCCAGGCATGAATCCCCACCTCATTCACAAATTAGAGTGTCTTGTTTTTGTATAAGTTGTGGATACGGAACATATCTGTTAGGGGGATTGATGTTTCCACATGCACATCCATAGGACAAGGGAAAGAGAGAGGGTGACAACTTGAAGGATTAGGTTCCACACTTATCTACTAACTAGTCTACATAAAAAATCTGCTGGATTTTAGAGCTTTGTGGTCATTGAATTTGGATTGTTGTCGCAAATGTCTGTTTTCCACCATTTTTTCCTAGTTACTATTTTATATGCTCATGTAGGTAGGTATATTGGATTCATTGTGTTTTGCAGGTCAGAGAACATGACACGCAAAGCTGCAGGAGATGAGCCCTTGCCTGAGGAGGATCCGTCAAATCCCATATTCAAGCCTATCCCTGAACCATCGCGGTTGGATAGTTTTCTGATAACCAATCAAGTAGCAAATTATTGCAACCAAATCAATGGGTATGTTACTGATCTAAAAAGACTGACTGTTATCTTTGTCATTGATGTGTTATTGGCTTATATTTCCGTGTCCACTCTCCATCGCCTTGGGGAATTCTGATATATGATGTTCTGGCTGTTGTCTGAGATCTTCTATGCTTTCCACATCGTTCTCTGCTTTTTTTAGCTTTGTAATACTTACGTACTTGTTAGAGTTGCTACTGCTTTTTTTTTTTTTCTTTTCGTGTTACCAAGGAGAGGTTCGAACTCGAGACCTCTTGGGGGGAGGGGGATATACTAATGCCAGTTGAGCTACAGCTCATTGACAGAGCAAGTGCTAGCATGGAAATTTGGATGTGCCCCCCAGTGGCACTTCAGTCCCAGCATCAAAATTGTTTTTCTCTGTGCTATTTCATCTTCTGCAATTTGTCTTACAAATCCCTAATTGTCTAGATTGCTCATTTAATTGCAGTCTTGAGTTTTTCCTTCATGCCTCTGTTAATCACATAGGAAGCTGAAAAAAAAAAGGAGTAACCGTGTTTGGATTTCTGTAGTTAGATTGCTTCTGAAGTCAAAGTTTGTTTTGTGTGCAAATAATTCTTCAAGCTGAACTCATTGTTTATTGTCTGTTGGGGGATAATACCACTTAGCCATTGAGCCTTGAGGAACTGTAATAGAAGAGATATTCTGTTTCTCCTTCTGACAAATTTACCTCTTTATATCAGAATAGAAATTTCATAATCTAGAATGGTTAATTAGTTTGTAGCTTGTATTGTTGATGCTCCGGGTCTGGGATTTAAGTATCTGCTCTCTCTTAGGTCACACTTATCCACTGCTTCACATTGTTGATGTTTATAGTCTCATCGTAGCTGTGTACTTTAAAATTGCAGGGTTTCTGGGCAGAGCTTCAGCCGATTATACTTGATGAAAGCTTTGCATGAAAATTGATACCATGTGAAGTTTGAATGGCCAGTCATCCCTCATTTCACAAGTATTCATTGTTTGTAGCCTTTGTTGGTTAATTGGGAGGAGGCTATCTTGGTAGAATGCCCTTTTTGATGAAAATGAAAAATTTTGAGGCAAGGAACAATTCATTCGTAATGGTGTCTTAATTTGAAAATGATTCTAGAATGTAACTAAGTGTTGCTTTTGTTTTAAATCGATTCTATGAAATCTGAAGTATAATGCTGAAGCTTTCAAAAGCGATTTCCGACATAATGAGAAGACTGAGTTGAACGGTTGCAAAATGAGTACTGTTACACCAGAGGTTACCTCTCCATGTTTGGGAGTGCCATTATTAGAAAGAATGGGCCAGCTCGTGTTTTTATATTTCGAGAAGATAACGACTGGCTTTTCATGTTCGACTTGTATTTCGTTTCATTAGGATAGTTTGTTTACTTGGTAAAATTACTTGTTTAAGAAACCAAAGAATCCATTGACATGTATACATATTATCTCAATTAAACACAATTTTGCTTCAAAAATTAGAGATGACATTTTCTGTTTTGACCAAGAACAATAGGTTCAGCATTTCTAAATAAATCAATAGGAAAATAATTAAATAAATAAAGACTTCCACTGATTCGATGTTAGAGACTAGAAAGCGAAACTTGATATAAAAAAAAAAAAAAAGAAATGGCATTCCAACTGCTTTTAGAGTTGATCTTTAGAGCCATTCTGAATTACAATGATCTATCATCATTCTGCTTCAAACGTCCTATGAATATTATAGGTATTGCTCTCTGCCAGGTTACTAGTAAACCCGTTCGTCACCGAGTTTAACCACGCGGTCATGATTCTCCCTTCTTTTTTTTTCTTTTTTTTTTTTGGAGAGAGAGAGAGAGAGAGAGAGCAAAGCAGTCAAAAAGCACGGGCATTTTATGAAGCTTTTCGCGGCGGGTCTGATTCAACACAAAATCACACAACTATTTGTATAAAAATACAAAAAAAAAAAATTAAGTCTTTCTTCATGCCTCTTTTACTTTGCCAATCTTACCCAATTTTCCTTTCTCCTCTCTTCATGATCCATTCATTTTCCAATGATAAAAAATTCAGTCTGTATTTTTGAATAAAAACCAAACATCCACAGGTTCACCTGGATCATGTTTTCCCATCCTAAAATCCAAATTTCGTGATTACACATTTTGAAACCCAAATCTTATTATAGCATCAAAGAAATCACATTTAGATTTTAGTAAAACATGGTTATCTGAGAAGAAAATCTTGTTCACTTTGTTGGTTTATTCATCCTTTCAAACAATTGCATTGCAGCTAAAACAAAATGGAGCTACTAGATACGACAACTGCTAAAGTAAATCTAAATATCCAAATACAGTTCTCCATGAAACTTGACCAGTCTGCATTAGCAAAATCCGCCTTAGGTGCATGCTTACTTCTCTGAAGAGTTTGGTCCACGCTTCTTTCCAAAACCAACAACTGAAAACAGAACATAGAAAATCATCATACTTACTCTATATTCTTTCTCTAAGCAATTCACACACACATTCAATATTTACACTTAAGTTGCCAAAAGAATAGAACAAGCAAGTAGAATATCATAATTGATAACAGCAAATAGAGAACGTATCGGTAGTCACTGTGTTCATGCCCTGATATGGTTGAAATTTATTATATGCTACTACAAGACTTTCTCAACCCTAACCAGCATAAAAGCATGCAAAGCTTCATGTAATGCTGCACTGCCTTTTCTCTTATTCGAAGCCATTTCGATTTGCATTACATCAATCCCTACCCCACCCTTAATCACTGCTAAAATTTATTAGCAACAGCTTTAAAAGACTGAGATAAATTAGTAAGAACAGCACTATACAAATACAAAATCGAAGTTCAAATCCCAAAAATGGCACAACAGCAACCCCTTCATCCGACCCCTAAAAACCCTAACGGAGGGCTCATTGATTTCCTAAAACAACCAGACCCCAAAATCAAAGGCCCTAAGGGGAAAATGAACTTAATCTAATGCTCAAATTCACCACAAAATCCTAATGACCTGATATGGGCCTATGCTAAGAAATTTTCTTAGCTTAAAAAAAATAGAAGAAAAGGATTTAAGAGAGGGAGACTGACCAGCTGTAACAAAGCGGCGATTGTACTGCATGCGCTTGTGAGCACGGCCTCTAGGCTTCTTCTTCTTGTCTTGCTTTGCCACTTTCGGGGTTTGACCTCTCACCTTCCCTGCACGGGCTAGCGATCCGTGTACCTTCCCTGCAAAATCGAAATCGAAATCAATCAGTCACAAAAAGGGTTTTGACTATCAAAGTAGTAGTTTGAGATCAAGAAGTAAACTATCTCATTCTAGGGTTAGGGTTTTACCCATGATTGTTCGCTGCTACTTCTCTTCTTTGCCTGCTGCCGTGAATGAGAGAGGGGCTGCGCTCTGCGTGTGTATTTTGTGGTTAGGGTTTTCGACAAGGGCGAGTGGTATTTAAACGGTTTTCTCTACACAACCGACATGTCTTGTACATCCCAATCTGAAACCAGTGTCGTTCATTAAAAATATCGCCATTCCTTATTAACAAACGACAAGTCACTCAAAAAATTAAAGTGCAAAAGTAGTTTTTTTTAAAAAAATCCCGATAATCCCATTGTAAATTACAAAATTAAGCTATTAGTAATACAAAAGACATGTCACTAGCAAAATTAAGGTACAAAAGGAGTGATTTCTTTTTTATCCCGATAACCCCATTGTTAATGTAAAAAAACTTTCGGGAAAATTCAATTTATTCCTGAACCTATATATTCATTTTCAATTAAGTCTCAAAACCTATATATTTTATCAATTAAGTCCCTCATGTTTCCAAAAAATAAAAATAAAATCTCAATCAAGTCTTTTTTGTCAGTTTTTCTTTTGAATAAACACTATTTTAGTGTATCAAATATCCACATTAGATACAAATCATTAAAAAATTTAACAAAAAAAGGCCATTGAGAAATAGAGCAGACGTTTGAAACCAAATCGATAAAATTTACAAATTTTATATATAGGACTAGATTAGGTCTCTTTTCAAAAACATTCGATTCATTTCCTCATTATGAACCACCTAGCATAGAATTGCGAAGGTGTGGATTCAATTTATGCAAACTGCCAAAAAGTCTTCAATTCTAATGATGAACCGTAAGTAAATATCATAGGAAAATGTTTGTAGTGAAGGACAGAGAAAGATAGATAGATGAAGGGAGGAAGGGGAAGAAGACCGAGGGAAAGAGACTTGAAACTAGTGAGTCGTGACAACCTCACGATATGTCATGCAAAGGGTTGTTAGCTCTCTTTCTCCTATATAACAAAAACGAAGTATGTTTTTAGACAATTATTTATAAGCTTTCAAAGATAACAGAGATTAGATTAGAATAAAATAATTAAGAATTCCTTCCAATTCAAATTAATCCTATGTTGGATTTGGATCCTACTGCAAAATAAAATAAAGCGAATTGGATTTGTCTATTCTCTCTAGTAATTGCTGGTGGATTGGAATCCCACCTGCATAAGCCAAAGAACGTGAATCGATGCAGAAATTGTAAAGGTGTGTGTTCTTCAAACTAAACAAAAATGTATGTGATGTGGTCAAAAAATACAGAAGAATATAAGCAGTTAAGCAGAAGCTAGCCCTGTCTTATCGACAAGGCATAAGACATAATAAATGCATCAAGTAATTAATGAAAGTGAAAGCAGTCCAGCCAGCATCCTATTGAATTGACTAATTTCAACGAGGACAATGAGATGGCAATGCAATTAGGGGAGGAGGAGGAAGAACTATCTGTTTACAACAGAAATAACTCAAACAGAATCCAACTACTGATAATAATACAATTTTCAGAAAAAGGTAGAACAAAACATAATGAGAAAAGGAAGAGTTTTTGAAGTTGTAGCAGGTAGTAGACAGTTAAAATTACAAATTTAGAAAATTTCCATTCTTCGTGGAACTGGAGTCTTGATGACCTGCAATATTTGCACCACTTCTGCCATGGAAGGCCTACTGGAAGGTATTTGAGAGGTGCACACAAGGGCCAATTTGAGCACTGGCAATACCTCGTCTTCAGGATAATCCCCCATGCTTGGATCAACACAATCCAAGGCATTACCATGTTCAAGCAAAACCCTCACATGATCGTTTAGTATCACCACATTGTCTTCACCATATTCAACTGGCCTTCTTCCAGTTACTAGCTCAAGAATCAAGACGCCAAAACCATATATATCGCATTTCTCATTGATCCTCAAGCTCTGACATGCTAGTTCTGGTGCCATATATCCTAATGCACTCTGAAATCTACTGCTTATAACATGCCTATCCAGCTTTGTCAACAGCCTTGCAAGTCCAAAATCCGAAATCTTTGGGTTGAATTTTTCGTCAAGAAGAATGTTGCTTGGTTTTATGTTATAATGAATGATGGGTGGACGGAAAGAATGATGCAGGTGTGCTAGTCCCTTCGCTGTTCCAAGCACAATCTTCAATCTGTTTGCCCAAGAAAGAGGCGGAGTAGAGGGTAGCCTTTCATGGAGTTTGGCTTGTAAGCTGCCATTAGGTGCATATTCTGATACCAATAGCTGCAACTGAGGAGTCCAGTAATACCCTTTTAGTGATAAGAGATTTGGGTGCCTTGCCTTTCCTAATACTCGAACTTCTCGATCAAAATCTTCAGGATATTGGATAATATGTGATGTAATAAGCTTTTTTATCGCTACCATTCTTGCCTCTGAACCCAATGAGACCTTGTAAACAGTTCCAAATACCCCTTGGCCTATTTCAGCAGCCTTATTAAGGAGTGATTCTGGATTGCTGATCCAATCAGGGGATGATTTTGAATCAAACAGGACCAGCTTGCCTGTGGCTAGATTTCCAGATCTGGAAGAGCTTGAGCACATGCTTTCTAAGGCATGATCCATAAATGCAAGCCTCTTCCGGGCAGATACATTTAGCAGGCTTATGAGTATCACTCCAAACACAATGAATATAGCTGCCGAAATTGCAATGATAGCTGAAACACTGAGGAACATATGGTGATGGAACCTTGCCGGGGGAGAGGATATACTCCTTGGTCTCTTGCCATCTTGATTGCCGTAGGCATACGGATCAAGGACAAGAGGCTTGGGAACGTTCATCTTACATGGTCCCTTCAACAAGGGTGAGCAAATTCCCAAATTCCCCTGCAATGCACTTTGATCCAAACTTGGAAATATACCCCCAACAGGAAGCCTGCCTATGAGCTTGTTATAAGATATATTTACAGCCAGAAGATTCTCCAGTTTTCCAAGCTCTTGTGGTATCTCTCCAGTCAGTTCATTGAATTCCAATTTCAGAATCTTGAGCTTGTTCAGCCTTGAAACGGACTTGGGAATGTAACCGCTCAAATTATTTTGGGACAAGCTCCTGCGAAGAAAATTAAAAGCATTCACATTTGATAAGTAAACAAGCATGGAATAATGCATTAGTTGAAGTTGGGGGGAACGGATACAAGACTTACAGCAAATACAGTGACGAACAATTTCCAATCTCTTCAGGAATTTGGCCCACCAATGAATTTCCATCCAATTGAAGGATGCTCAAACTTCCAGACTCACATATATCTGCAGGAATTGAGCCAACTAAACCACTGCTTCGAAGATCCAAAACTGTCAAGTTCTGAAAGTAGCCAAGCTCTGGTGGCATTCTTGATTCCAGATTGTTCCAGGACAAATTCAAGTATCTCAAATCAGATGAGAGACCCATTTCTGCTGGAATACGTCCTGTGAGATTGTTCCTTGAAAGGTCCAGTGTGTGAAGAGATGAAAAGAAAGTACTTGAACTTGATGGAATTGAACCTATCAATCCATTGTGTGAAAAATCTACTTCCTCTAGCCCAAGATCAAACAAGCCTGCTGGTATGCTGCCATTAAAGCTGTTACCTCTCAACCGAATCACTGATAACATAGTACAGGAAACCATTGAGGTGGGAATGTTGCCAAAGAGTTTGTTATTGGACAAACTCAAGTAGCTCAGTGATTTCAAGTCACCAATGGATGATGGGATGCTACCAGTTAGAGCATTGCTTGACAAGTCCAAGTATTCAAGATCGCTCAAGCTACCAATCCACTGAGGGAACTCGCCTGTCAACATATTCTTGGATAAACTGACATAGTTCATTGAATTTAGCCTCTGAAGAGACTGTGGCAGCGCTCCACTAAAGAGATTGCTGCTTAAATCCAATCTATTCAAGTGCGGGCACAGTCCAATATCTACAGGCAGTGGTCCGGAAAAGCGATTTCCCTGTAATTGGAGCTCTTTCAAGTTGTGAATGGCCGATACCCCTTGTGGCACGGGTCCAGAAAATTCGTTGTGTGAAAGATCCAATCTTCGAAGCCGCTCCAATGACCAAATCCCAGTAGCAAAATCTGGGTCACCGGAGAAATGGTTGTTGGACAGACTGAGAGTGTTCAAGGAAGCGCAGCTCCATAATGAACTAGGTATTGGACCTTCAAACATATTCCCTGCTAAAGAAAGGTAGCGAAGAGATAAAGAGTTTCGAAAAAGATCATCAGGGAGTGGTCCTGAGAAAAAATTCTGAGAGAGATCAAGAAACTTAATGGAACTCATGTTGTCAAGAAAAGATGGAATGAGGCCTGAAAGACTGTTGTGGCTAAGGTTGAGTCTTTCTAGATTTGAAAGGAGACCAAGCTGAAGACTAATGTCACCGCTAAAATTGTTGTGGGACAATGATAATGTCTTCAAATGCTGCAACTTTTGGAGCCCTTTACCCAATTTTCCTGATAATCCCAAGCCATCAAGTGAGACTTGAGAAACACTGCCGCTTAACGGATTGCACTCTATGAACTCCCATGAACATGGGGAGTCATCATCTTCGTTCCATGAGCTGAGATAGGAAGATGGGTCGATAAGGTCTGACTTAAAAACAATCAGCCCTAAGACATCATCATTGATTTGTATCGGTACATTATCACTTCCCATGCAACCTCTAAGAGAAGCAAGGGAACAAACCAGAACATGTAACAACAAATGAGAAAAACCCATCTCTAGTAGCAGCTATTAACAAACCTAAACTCTCTCTGCCTGGTTCTTGGCTATCGAAAGACCAAGAAATCAGACATGAGCTATATTATTGAGATATTCTACTTGACAGGAAATCTAGCTTGGGTGGGTTACTGTTAGGTGATTGCAAGGACTAGCTAGAAAGAAAGGGATGTTACGTTAACTGTGTGTTCACGAGACAGTGAGAATGAGAGAGAGAGAGAGACATTTTTTTTTCAATCAGAATGAAGTCTATCTAGTGGTCCTTGTACAAATCATTAAACAAATCGTGAAGCAAATTAAGATACCTCTAAGCTAAAGAGAGGGGAAGGGAATGTTGGAAGTTATTTCCTCATACAAAGTAGTAAAATTTTTGCTGAAGGTCAGAGACCAAGACAATAGGTACAGCATGTTACATGGGTCTCCTCATCTCGAGTCCTGACATATTCCCACCGCATACCATGTCTTTTCTTTTGTCTACAAGCTGTACATGTCTTTGCTGTGACCAAACTTGTCGTTTCTTAAAGCACCTTCTTGCTTCTTGTGTGCCTTACTTTCCTTTCTGCTTGAAATTTCAATAATTCATCAGCCTATGGCTCTGCTGTTTCAAGTTCCAACACAACTTTTGGTTTCCAAATAATAATGCTAGATAGATAGATGCAACTAGTCTATATTGCAGCTGAAAATGCGTACCTTGCCTGAAACTTGACACCACCATTTAACGTTTGTGGCTTTTTAGGAATGTTGGTGAAAGATAGTGTACTAGGCGAATGGTTGAAAAAATGGTCAGAGTCACCATCGCGGGTCATGTGGCCTCTATTATTAATTAACTTGCTTGTGTGTTAGCAGTACTCGTCATTCGTCAAGACTCTGCATCGTACGTTTTTATTTTATTTTTTTCCTTCTATACTGAAGGTTTAATGGGGCCCAAAGTATAAAAGGGAGTGATCTTTCTTTTTTATAAATCTCATTCTGTTATTTCAAAGGATTTGAATATGATACTTACAAATAGAAAAGTCTTTAACTTTTCCTTAAAAAAAAAATTAATAATAAAATTGCATTCTTATGTCTTAAAAATTAATTTTATTCTTGGTAGTTCGAGGGACATTCTCGTTCAAGAAGTGACAAAAAAACTTAAGAATTGTTATGAAATAAATGAATGTCCATCATCATATTCATCCAGCTTCTATATCCTCACTACTCATGATTCTTAATATGATTCAATTCATCATTCAATATGATGAATTAAAAGGGTGATACAATTGATTATTCATAATCCTTCCAATTCTCTCCTCAATTTTGAAGCCTATAAATAGACTTCGATTATTCATTGGTTGGTGTACAAGTTTCATAGAGAGAATAAGTGAAACTTTCAAGTTCTTATCACTTATATTCACGTTATAGTGATTTCATTTTCTTTAATTCTACTATTATTTCTATTTATTTTATAATAAGAATATTTAAAAAAAAAATTGACAATAATCGAAAAACCTAGAAAGTTCATTTTCTTTTTCTTCTTTTTTTAATCTGGATACATAAAAACTTCGAATATTTTTAAAAAACTTGAAAAATACATTAAAATATCAATAAAAATAACAAACAAATGAAAAACATAAAAAGAAAAATCTGTGTTATGCAAAACTTATATTTTTTTTCTTTTTCTTTTTTAGTTCTAGGAATTTTTTTATGGTTTCTATATTTTTTAAATGTTTTCAAGTTTCTTTATATTTTTTAAATGTTTTCAAGTTTCTTTATTTTTTAGTTTTTGAAAAATAATTTTTTTTAGAGGCATTTTCATCTAAAAATAACAGAAAGAGCGTATATAAGAAAATATGAATATATAAACATAGAAAAATCTTAAAAGTGCATATAAAAGAATATTCTCAATATACAAAGATAAATGTATCATTTAATCCATATTATAATATAACAAATAATATAAGTGTAGTTCCAAAAAACAAATAATATAAGTTTAAAAAGACAAAAACGCAACCAATTCATATACCCTAAATATTTATTCTTTAATTTGCTTTACATATAGATTATAGACATCAACAAGCACCTTACATTCCTATTCTCTTTTGCCCCTTGTTTTAAGAGATCGTAATCATGGATAATTCTTGTTGCCCAAAATTGAAATGGTCATATTTCACAGGTCCATTCCAATTCCCGAGCAACACGGGCAATCTTCAGAAGATCCAAACTAAGTTCACGAGATTCCTCTGTTATTTTCTCAGCTCACATGACTCTTTCTTCTGCATGTTGGCCCCCACCACTCCCGACTCCCATCCCATCTACTGTCGCCTCAATTCTTTCATTTCTTCCTTTCGTTGTCCTATTCTGACTCTGGGCCTCCCTTAATCCTCTTAGAATTCAGAAAAAGATTATCATTATATATTTTTGGTGTTCAGGATCTCTATTTGAATGTCACTGTGTTTATTTTTGCTTTTGCTATTTTAATGTTTCAACTTTCATTCTTTCTTGTTTTTTTTAGTGAAAGCTTTCTGTTAGATTCTGAGCAATACATGTTAATATGGCCCAAAAGTTTGCTAACATCAATGTGAAACGCCCACGAATATTATACCATATTTCTAATTGGTTTTTTTTTTCCCCATAATCCCTTGATCCTTATTCTTCATCTAGTTACTTTACCTAGTGCACTGTTTATACCTCTTACCTAACAATTTCACACCCCAAAGGTAAGCCATGATGCCAATTGATTGTGAACTATTGTTAAATAGAAGTGAAGGAAAAACAAAGACTGATGGGTTTTATTATCTCCAAAAAGATCTCAAATCCCAGATTGCTTGATATTGCAAATCATGGTGTAAGATTTTAACTCAAAACCCAAAAGGTCTAATGAGTTTGTTCCATAATCACCAACCAAACCCAAAATCCACAGAAATATAAAAGGCTGAGTCTTGTTGGGGTTACTAGCTCAAGAGAGGGAGACGGCGCAAAACTTGAAAAGAAAAATGGAGTTGAAGAAGACGCTTTCATTCCATGTAATGATCAAAATGTTACTGTACATGCTCGACGCAACCGAGAGTATCTTATTCTATCCTCATCTTTGATTTCAATCAGACCTAATGAAAGAGTACAAAAAGGTGGGTACAAGGGTGAGCAGCAAGTTTTAGCGAAGAAAAACACTTTGATACACAATCACAAGTAGGAATCGAGATATCCATATGCATGTCTTTTGTTATACTGTAGCAAGCTCGCATAAGTCCGGTCCCAGATTCCTATATACAAAGATTCATCATCTGGGCTAAGAGATACTCCTGAAATCTCACCAAAGAAATCAATCTCTTGCCGCTTCCTGTAATCATCTCGTGTACTATAAACATGCACAAAATCTGCAGGTTCAGCTACAAACATGAATTGGCCATCTGATGAGAAGCGAATTGAACGAACCGCACCCAAGTTTCCCTTGAGAATAGCAGTAGGCGATGACAACTTTCTTATATCCCACACCCGGCAAGTCTTATCCTGATTCCCTGTGGCAAAAACACGTCCATCTGGGTGCCATGCTGATGCAAATGAATAATCTAGGTGTCCTTCCACAGTGGATACGGTCTGCAAAAACATTGACATGAATTTTATTTAAGAATGCCACCAAGATTTGGTGTCTCAATTGAATCACTAAGAATTATAAAAATACAAACTTCATTAGAATAATAATGATGATGATGATGATCATAATTAATGCACCAGATAGAAGGCTGGGATAATTGCTTCCAAACTTCCAGGAATTATGGCCATGGAAGATAACAAGTGGAAAACAAGGTTACACTTCCCTACATAGTTTTCCAAGTGGACATTAAATAAAAAGAACATAGCTGACGGGGACAAATGGAGTATTGGATGTTTTCTTAGTTTTTTATGCAGTTTACCTGTCTTGAAAAAACACATGGTTCCTCTTAAAAATAGAAATATAGGCAATTCCAATTTCAATGACCAATAAAAATAACTATAGATGGAAAAATTGTACCTTCCCACTCTGTGAATCCACCAACAATCCATCCAAGTTATCTCCAACAACTGCCATTAGCCTACGGTCAGGGCTCACTGATGTGTGCTGCAAAAAAAAAAAAAAAATACATCAAATTGGAAGTTGAGAAAGTCATAGCAGCTATTGAGTTCCACAACAGATGATGACTAGATATTGAGAAGCCAAAGACCTCAAGGGACACTTCAAAAAACCTGCCTGGTGCAGGGGATCAACGTCAAGTCTGGATCACTCAGGGCAAAATAAATTGAATGTGTTGGAACCCAATATTAGTAGTGTGAAATGAATTGAAATTACAATTCAAGTGAATTGACAGAGCCAAGATCAACACACTGATTTTAGTATGATTTGTCAATTCATTTGTAAAGTGAGTTGCAGCTATTGTCGATTCTTATTTTATCATGCTAAGTGTTATAGTTTTGAATAGAGAATATATTTGCAATCATTCTGTTCAACTCATTTATAAAATGCTCCAAATAGACTTTGTTTAAATTTTCTTTTTTCCTTGTACAATTATTCCAGTGGTATCTTCCCCGTATTTTATCATGTATATCAAAAGAAATTGATGAGCAGTTCCCCTATATGCTGTTTCTTTTTAACAGTGAATGTTCATGTGGCAGTTGGACGGAGAGTTCGGACAGAAACAAAAAATCAACCAGAAAATGTATATTAGGGCTTCTTGAAAGTTGTAAGTGATAAGGATAGCTTACATTCACTGGCCAAGGGAAACGAAAGTGATTCAAAAGCTGAAATGTCTCTAAGTCATATTCTCTAAGACCACCATCATTGTTGGATGCCATGAAATGGATTCCACCCCTGCAAGAACAGTTCCCATATCAACCCATAATCCCTGAATACAATTTATGATACTCAGCAAATACAAAATAATCCTACTACCTCATGCTGTCGTATATCTCAATAGCATTGGTGATGGCATTATCATCATATGTAGTGCGGGTACAGAAGCTAACTCCTTGTTTATCCAGACGCTGCAGCAGATAAAATAGCTGTTTAGAGAGAGAATTTCATAAAAGATGCTTGAGCACCATATGGGTCTTTCCATAATTCCTATTGTCATCTTATTTTATTTTTCCTGTTTGCTGGAGCAGAAGATGTATGAAACCCAAAAAAAGTAGAGCTCAATTATATTTTCTGTTAGCTTTCCATAAGCTCAGCTCATAAAATACAATGAGAACAATTTTGTGTCCAACAAACAAACAAACTGTGAAATGAAATTTGAAAGATGTGTAGCAGAAAGAGGTAAATACCCATGTCTGATGCAAGCATGAAGTATGCACCAGCCCTACCCTGCTGATGAGGTATTGAACACATGATAAACAAGATAGGAGGCAGAGTATACAATTATCCAAGTGACCATGGCCTACTGATAACATTTAACTTCATCAGTCTCAATTCATTCTTTTTCTTTTATTAACGAAAAAGAAGACTTCATTGAAGAAGGTAAAAAATATATATATATCATATCAGGAGAATGGTTAAAACTCCACTCATGAGTCATGACTAACTCAAAACATTTACTATGACACTTTCCTATGATTTCATTTAAGTGCCTTATTGAAACTAATTATCAGCAAACAGATAAAAAATGCAACGCCCTTTTCGCCTCCACAAAGGATTTGACACAAATACAGCATTCGCATTTTTATACACGTGGCATGTCTTAAAGGCAAATGATGATGTTTTCACTACCATACTTATGTCTGATAAGGTTCTTATATCCAGACTGATAACAACTAGTAGCAGCTCAATTGAGGCAGCTAACATCAGAGGCTCCAAATCCAAGGACTATGGAATACAGTGGAGGAGTGCAAAACATGCTTCTTTTTTATTTTACTTTAAACTCTGCATATTTCCATTTCCGGATCCAATATTATTGTCCAATTTCATAGTCAAAACATAGGATTTGAACATTTCCCCTAAAATCCTACCCTGAAACACTGAGGACTTGAGCTTTCAATTCTCGTATTAAAACTCCAAAGCATCAAATGAAATCAAGGCAAAGACAGAAAGTTGACACAAAGCAAATGTGGAGAGAAGCATTTATTGAACCCTCCAAATCATTTATTTGTCAAAGAAAATTAAAGAATGCTTGCGACAAGCTTTCTGTTCCCTTTCCCCTTATAGCTCATATTCTAATCCATCCTCATTTCATGTTCAGATCAGTACAGCCCAATCCTGCACCTTTGCAAGAAGCACATACTAGTAGAAAGTAGAAACTTAGTCAAGTCATCACCACATAAAACCTGTAATTAGTATTTAAACATATAGATCTAACTTACTAATGTTTAGACTGATTGTCTTCATTTGGGAAAAAAACCTACTTCCTACGTATCTTACCCATTTAATAGTTCCTTCCATATTTCTCCATCTCAACTTAATAATTCTCATGCTCCTCTTATTGCCTCTTTATTCACTAAAATACTATGATCTCAGGCAACTGTAATACCTTTATAACTCCAAATTAACTCGTGTATGACAAGCTATGCAAATAATCAAATTACTGGTGGCCCACAAGAATCTTTGTTCAACTAGCACCAGAAAATTCCACCAGCCAGATTCTTCAATTTGATACAGTATTATGCTATGGTCGCTAAACTTGATCTTTCCAGTCCTTATTCAAGTCAGAAGCTCCAAACCATTTATCAACTATCAGCAACCATAACAACTTTAAGCACTGGCTCCAAACATAAAATCAATGCTGACCACATGTATGCTGTCAGTCATGCAGCATTAGAAACGGAAACCATTCTGCAGTACAAACCAGAGGACAACGGAAAATAAAGCCTGATGCAATCTTCATTAAGACTACATCACCAGAGCAGCCTGGATATAGTGTAAAGCTGCAATTTACCATAGGTCACTCGAGCTCATAAAAATTCTATTGTTACAATTTCATCAACATTCTAATGCTGCTCAAGAGCAGGCAAAGGAGCAGAACAGCGTTTTTGGTCACTCGTATATTGTTTCTACATACTTCACAAACCATCAAGGCTATTAAGGTGGCAATATCACAAGCAATTTAGCTCAACTCAGAGCAAAAAGTTTTTTTTAAAAAAAAAAAAATCTGTTCCAATAATCAAGCTCTTTCTGAATGGTTCAAATTAAAAATTCCACTGCAGATTTGAAAACAGGCTAATGGCATGTCCTACTGTTGCTAAATTCTAGTACTAGCACAGCCACCTGCTAACAATCTTCTAAATGATAATACAATTTATTTATTTTGAGATCTAACAATGATAGGTTTAACCTTAAATGTCAGAACTCCAATGTCTTTTTAATTATAGGATATATTAAAGATAATTTGATAGGATGATGTGCTGACCTTACATATAGCATCCTTCCCATGCATGTTAGCATAATCTTTTGCATAAGGGGTGTGTGTGTTTTGTGTCTGCATGCAAGTGAGAGAGAGGGGGAGGGCAGGAGGGAAGCTAGAGAACACCCTGCGTCTTGTATGGCTAATCCAACAAGAGGACAGGAACTGGGCTCAAAACAAAATAAGACAATGAAAAACCTAACCACTATATACAAGCTAACAAATGAAAAAAGAGCTGTTTAGATATCAACTCACTTTGCAAGTAAGCTCTCCTTGGAAGCCCCCAGCAACAAGAAAATTGTCTTTGACTGCTATAGTGCTAATTTGAGTTTGGGTGAAACCTTCTAACAAACTTCCGGCATGTTTCTGTATTAAAAAAACAATTACTAGTTAATGGGGAAAAAAAGAACCAAGATGGTAAAATATATACATTGCTGAGAAGGGCCTTTTCCTGATAGACATTAGGAGGGGGGTGGGATAGAGAGAGAGAGATCATATATAACTTGCCATGCAGATTTGTTATCAACTATAAAGTCAACATGGAAATAACCACAATACCTCAGACGGTGCTACATGCCCTGCAAAATTGATGACCTCGGACAAATTGCCAGATATGGATGACCAGTGCATGACTGAATAATTAGACATAAGATACACATCATGCTTCGAAGTGGCCCAAACCAAGTTCCTGAGCTGCATAACCACAACACAACAAAAGGCACTCAAGTGTCAAGTGGGCGATATAACTAGCAAAAGCAGATGAAATCAGCAATCACACAAATTTGGCTTGATAAGAAACTTGCTACTATATGCAGTCCAAAGAGACAAACCAACACATAGTTTGCCACTTCATAAATATGGAAACGACTGCTTCCAAAATAACACTCAAGGAAAGAACCCCTAAAACTAAATAGATAGCTAGCAACATTAAGCAGAACAAGTTTCTTTACTCTTTCCCTATTTCAGAAGGATGTCAAGACAAGCACGAGCACGAACAATGTGGTGTTTACATAGACAAGCATATAAAAGAATTTGCTGTTCACATACAGAAGTTGCAAAATCCCCTAACCTGAAAATGAAGAATGGTAGGCTTAACCGATCTAGTATTATGGAAGAATTCATAGTAGCAGCCGCCCTTCTCCATTTGTTTGCACTCCTAAAACAAACAAGTATAATAATAATCAAACAAAATTCTAAAACCCAGAAAAAAAAATTAATAATAAATAACATTAAAGTACCTTATCGACAGCTTCGCCGGATGAAGGAATGTTCTCATAATTCTTGTACTGCTCAAGCCTGGTCAATCTGTATTTTTCCCTGGTTATATTCAATCTTTCCCAGGGAATACCCTGTATGTCCTGCCCATTTCTGGCTTGCCCAGAAGATGTATCCGTAGCCTTCGTAAGCTGCTCATTTTACCAAAAATTAAAGATTAATAATTTCATAAATTCTACCTAAAATATTCAATTAAAAATAATTTTTTAAAAAAAATACCTAAACTAACAAAAAATAAGTTGAGAAGAATACCAAGTCGTATTCATCGGCTTCAACATCTTCCACACCAGCGGCGGCACCGGCGGCTCCTCCATCCATTTCATCGACGAAATCAACCATTTCTTCCTCTTCCGCCATGTAATTCATTTCCCCCAGCCGCTGGTAGTAGGACATATGCTATTTATGTGTGTGTATATATCTATGGACTGTTCAAAAAAAAAAAAAATCAACAAAGTCAATAAAAATCAATTCTCTAAGTAATTGTATAATATAAAATATATTTCATGAAATATTATTAAAAAATAAAAATAAAAAAAAGATCAAACTCACACAAACACTTGCAAGTTGCAACAAAGCATCCAACCTAAGGAATATATATATATTGAAATATCGAAGATTTATTTACCATGCTAGATTAACCCAAAATAAACCCTATTTGGCCATGTATCAGTTTAATTTAGCACCAAAAAGAAGAAAAATGGACTAAAATTCCAACAAAAAAAAAAAAAGGATATAAAGTAAACAAGTGTACTAAATTACAGAAGAAGAACTAAAAAGGTAGGGGAGGGAAGGGCAGAGGAGGGATTCTCTTACACGCAGTAAGCAAGAATTCAGAGAGAGTGCAGATTTTTGAGAGCAGAGGAAAGGAAAGGACAAGAAAAAAAAATTATTTAAAGATGGGATGATGGGATTTGAGAGAAATAATAATAAATATAAGTTGGGGTTATCACAATTATATTATTTGTCGGCGAATAAACCTTCTTTTAATTGATTGCTGCTAGTGGGCACGCAACGCCACTTGCATGTTTACCTGTGTTTTCTTCCTTCCTTTCTTTTTCTTCTTTTTTACGGTTAAAAAGATGCATTTCCTCTTCTAAAATTAACATTAAAATAGATTTATTCTTCTAAATATATCATGCGTTCTAGAAATCATTCAAAAATTCATCTTTAGATTCCACTGAAATTTTAATTTAATATCAGCTCGCGCGTAAATGATCCAAAAAAGAAAAATTCTCACCGAACCAAAAAAAAGAAAAGGATTGCTTTTGATTTTGTTTTTATTTTATTTCGTGTGTATAGGGGAAAGAGAAAAGGAAGGGGAAAAAAGAAGAATAAAAGTGGGTCCCGTCAGAACGGCAAGACAAAATGCATGTAATACACCAATTCCCTATATGTCTTCAAGCTCCCAGACGGAGTAAGGAACAAACAAATGTTGGAGAAAAAGAAAGCTCCTCAGTAACAACAAACAATGGAGCCCAATATCTCGATGATCATTATCCAAAATCTCTCAAATTTAAAAAACAACACACTGTTATTGTTTATTTATGGAGTATTAAAACATGGTCAATCTGATCCAATGTGTTTTGATTACGATAATCAATCCATAGTTATATATGACTTGAACTTAAATTTAATTCCACTTGTAGTTAATCATCCGTCATCATCTTTTGCGTGTTTTTTTCCCGACCTGAAAACGCACTAACTTGGTATACATGTGATTTAAAATTGGATTTTTGGGTTGTTGTGTGAAGGAAATAGTTTCCTAATAAACACTTGCGAAGAAGAAGCTGCTAAATTAGATGAACTTTTTTTAATATATATATAGTTGGCTTAGGAGCTTTTGATGTTAAAAGCTATCGGATCCCATTTGGTTAGCAGCTACACAATAGCTTTTTTATTTGAGATAAATCCATGGATTCAATGCTAAAAAAGGGTTTGAAAGTTTTCCAACCGTTGATTTGGTAGTTTTTTATACAATTTTCATTATAATTTTTAATATATTGATGCAAACACACATATATATATATATATATATATTATCTCTAAACACTGATTAGTTCTTTATTATTTTATGAAACGCACAAACAGATATAACTATTTACAAAGGTTTTTTTTTATGTACATTCAAATTTGATATTACTCGCTTAAACGATTAAAAATTTTTCCTCTGAAGCCAACACTCACGTAAATATGCAAACATAGTTTGATTTTCAAACTATTCGTTGAGAGAGAGAGAGAGAGAGTTTGATAAGAAATATTTATAAAAAAGAAGAAGAAGCTGAATTAGATTAGCAGAGGTGATGAAAAAATTTATAATCAAGTAGAATTATTAAATTATCAATGATATATATCTGATAAATAGAGAGGTCTCATCTTTATTGTGGATTTTATTAGTAATGAATTGATTTTTAAAAATACTAATGAATTGAAAAGATATCACGAGAGACAATAACGGAGGAATCAACTTATAAATGTTTTACACAAATTATAAACTCTAGATTCATTTGGTTCCTTAATATCTCACGTTTTATCTTTTTTATCTTTTTCTTTTTTTTCATTTTATTTCCTCTTGATCAAAATATATACTCCACATATATATTCTCTCACTTTTTACATTTATTTCCATTAATTCTTCTTCTTCTTCTTCTTCTATGTTTTCAACAAAGGAAAAAAAAACGTGGAATACCATACTTTTTTCAAATAACAAGCTAATAGAACAAATGGAACCCTCATATATATATATTAATCCATAAAATCATACACATATAAACCGTAAATAAATTAAATTATTTCTTTTGTAAAACCATGAAGTAATCTGGACAGATGATTGAATTGCATTAACACGGTTCTTTCATTAAAAAATCAGATTTTTTCTCATTTTTAATTGTATAGTTCATAGAACCCTTGGTCGGTTTTCTAAAATTTTTCAAAGCTACGGGTCGGACTCATTTTATAGCAAAAAGTGGAAAACCTAGTTTTTCCGTTCATGGTGGGCAACGAACTCCAACTACAATCTAGTCAATGAAGGTAATGGAATTATTACATATGGTAGTGTAGGCCACGTTTCTTACATTCAAAATGATATAACTAAGTTATGTTTCTCATGGTTCGATGCATCATATAATAATAAAAATTAGACAACCTCATCATCATCGTACCTTCTTAATGTTGTTGGAGGAGGCATGCTTTGCCTTCTAGAAAAGCTTGATTTCGAGAATTTCCAAAGCCATCATCAATCAAACCCACCATATGACCTCCTTCAAGGCTTCAACACCCACCAAATGGCCCAATTGATGATATATATCTTATAATAGATACAAAATTCATGAGATAGAAAAAACCCTAAGCCCTATCATAGCTACGTGTACACTTATCCTCTGATGTTCACATTCCTAACATCATTATTACATCAACATGTACATTATGCAATGTCAAAAGCATGTCTCTTTTCAATTTATTCTGCTACCTAATAATCATCATGTGCTAGTGCAACTCTATGGTGATTGATGCTTTTCATATGTTTAGCCTACCGGAGTTGTCTCCTCATTCCATCATCTCAATTCTCATATACAACAAGTTTTACTCACTCCGGGAAAGAAAACAGAAACAAACAAACATGGCTTGTTGTGTTGGGAAAAATTCTATTTTTTAACACTTGCCTCACTCTTATCATCTCTGAGAATTTAGTCTTTTTAACTAGATCCGTCCAAGTATAATCAATAAAGTTATCGATTTGTCTCCATTTTTCTATTCTTACCGGTTTGCTGCCCGCACTACATTGGGGATTACATAGAATAAAATTAACTTAATTTAATATCTTCCATTATATTACATATCTATTAAATATATCCAATCAAAAATAAAACAAACTTAAAAATATAATATAATAATTTTTTTTAATCAAAATCTTGTATTTAATTGTTTATTTGTTATTTTTTTCCATAAATTTTCAAATGAAAAAGACAATGATTTGTTATTGTGCACACATAGATTCTCAAATAAAAATCTGCAACAATCTAAATAAAAAATTAAAACCATTTTTTTAAAAAAAAACTTAATATTTCTTCCATAAGGTTGTAGAAAAAAAACAATAATTAATATAAAAAATAATTTAGAAATTAGCAAATATAAATTAATTTTTTATTCTTATTTAATATTGATGAGAAAATTATTTTTTAAAACATGTAGATTTAATTTGTATATACATTGAATCACAAAATAATCCATGATATAGCATAAAAAATTATATTTGAATCATTGTATGATTCTTTTAAAATATTATTTTTATTATTTATTCAAAAAAACTAAATTTAAAACACCCAAAAGAAAAAGAAATTAATAGTAAATGGTCGATTTGATGTGTGTAGGTTTTTTTTTTAAAAAAAAAACAAGGGTATTACCTTGCAAAAATTTTATTAATAATCAAAATAGAAATACAATGAGGAAACAAACCAGCCTAACCTCAACATATGAAGGGGACAATGAAGCTTAGACCCTAAAATATAAAGCAAAAATACAATATAATATCAAATAGAAATAGGTTTAGAGTGTGCAATATAAAACACACACACACACACATATCAAGAATACGTTAAATAAATTTGAAGTTAATATACTAAAATAAAAACTTATGCGTTGAAATAAAAACTATCATAAAATTGACTTTGAAAAATTTCGATTACAAAAATAAGAAGCAAATAACACATGTAAAATTCATTTTTGAATTGATTATTTTAATTGTTTTAAGACAAAGTATTTGAAATAAATTTTTAATCTTTAGATTATATATATATATCATCTAAAAATCATAAGAATTGATCATATAAATTATATTAGTGCATTTAAACAAAGAAAAAATAATCACATTCTAAATTTTATTTAAAAATCCATACATAGAGAAAAATAAATCACATTTTTTAACAAATATGATTATATATAAAAAAAAATAAGGAAATTAATTAGATGTTTCCATAAAAATAACAAATCGAAGAAATTATCTTAATTTTTGAAAAAAAAATCAAAGCAAATATATTTTTTAATCACCATAGTTTATGAAGAAAAAGAATTTTTTTTTCATAAATTTAGCATAAAATCAATAAAAAAATAAAAAAATTACATACAAGAGAAAGAAAGGAAAAAAAAAGAGAGGCCAATCTAAGCCCAATTGGCCAAGGATAAGGCAGGGAAAGGAAAAAAAAGTGATTGTAGTAAACGAGAGTTTGGTGCCACTTTCTAGCGAACTTTCGACGAATTTGAGTTTGCTAGAAAGTTCATTGAAAAAATGAGTTTTTAGATTTTTTGGCTATAAAACTCAATCTATTCATCATTTTTGCTTCAAAACACTTCAAAAACACTAAAATGAGATCAATGAACTCGTTTGAAACCTTAAAAAATTATTTTAGTGCACATTAAAAAACAAATTAAAATAAAAAATTCAATTCTTTTTTTATTCCGATCTTTCTCCTCCAATCATTTGATGACTTGAAACTATCATCGACAAATTTTTTTCTTCAAGATAAATAAATTGAATGGAATATTGTCGATCAAAGTGGCCGAAATAAGCTTGACCGACTCTCTCTTTCTCTCTTCTTTCTTTTCTCTCTTTGTTTCTCTCTCTTATCCGCACCCAAGGATTAAAATATGTCACAAATAAAATTGTGGATCAAAATAAAAATTTTAGAAACATTAGGAGCCAAAATATAAAATTTTTGTATAATTTACATATAATTGCAAAAAACTCAAAAATTATATATAAAAAACTTCCGTACGGCGCACTTGAAACTAGCCCTACAGTAATTGCACAGTAAGTAACCCTATCTCTTTTAGTTTATTTTATAACATATGTGTGGGCTTTTGCACGCAAAATTTTCGTTTCAAGATAAATTTTTATCTTTTAAAAAATGAGATTAAATTTTGTTCCCGTCAAAAGCAAGTTATTTATGTAAAGCTAAAAAAAATTATGAAAATTGGACGTATTCATGTCTAAACTCTAGAATAAAACAATGATCAACAAAATAAAAGCAACCATTTACCAGCTAACCTATCTCGAATGAGTTATATTCAGATCTATTTTCAATTATTATGTGTTATCTTGCATTTTCATTAGTGAGTCATGTTATTTGTGTAATGTTACACTGTGAGTTGACGATAAATATCAATAAAAATAGTGTTTGTTGGTTGCTGCGTTTTTTTTTTCCCCTTTTAAAAGCACAGAACTAGCAGGATAGGTAAGAAATAGGATAATCCAAATTGACCAGCCTAGTTACTGCTGGAATATGGAGTTGCTACCGGGCTGATTACCTATCACTTTGTGCAGCGTAGCTTCTTAACTCTTTGGCCCTTTGCTCATCACCATTAACACAAACAACTTAGATCTTCTCTTCTTCATTGATCCAATCCACCTACGGCAAGTTTACTTAACCCAACAACAATTCCTTCGAATATAAAATTGCCCATCAATTGATCTGGGTAGTAAACGAGAAATTATAACCTGAGCATCATCATAAAGGAGAACAACGAGCTGCATGCCAAAAAACAAAAATCTGGTCCAAGATTCTGTCCTAATGAAAAGAATAGACGACAAACAGACGAGGCCATATGAAGCCATAGTCACAACCAAAGGGTTAGCTGATGCGCAGTTTTACCAGAGGACGAGTTTAAAAGTTTAATCATACATTGTTATACATCCTTCAAAACATGCGAAAAGCTAGCTAGCAAATTGTGGATGGAAAACATTCAATGTCCCAAATTTCAATAATTCATAGATAAGTTTTTTGGTTTTTGGACAAAAACCTGTGTTCGTGTATTGATTACAAAGAAAAGGTTAGAACTCGTGACCTCTTCATATATGACTTAACATGCAAAGTTTCCCTTAGGGAAAGTCATTTTGAAAGGGGAAAAAAAGAAAAAAATCAAAAGCAAAATACTCCAAAGTCCAAACGGTAATTGATAAGAAGGCATTGCATACTTGTAGGAGTTAAGATACATATGTCAATCAGAACAAATCCACAGGTTGCCAGAATATGGAAGCAAATCCCATGTTCATCTCAGTGAGTATGTGGGCTTGAAGAGCTTGTAACTTGCAAGAATCAAGTTTCAACTTAAAGTTACTTCATGGTTAACTCCCTTGATTAGCACCTTTTCCCAGGCAAAACCTTTCAGGAATAGTTGCAAATATCTTTCCTTCTCCCCTGGTTGTTTCAGAGTCTCTTCTAATGCTTAGTCCACAGCAATGTCTTTACTTCATTTAACCTCCTTTCAAATCCAGGAATTAATTTCAGTTTCTCAACTAGCAGGATAGTTGAGAGGCTTCTTTGTTTGATGGAATGCAATAAGTCAGAAAGACAATAATATCTTGAGCAAAGCCATAAAAAAGAGCAGAACAGAAAGAAATGAAAATGAGACTTGACTTTCCTCAACAATCTCTAACTTAGCTGGTGGCATCCCATTAATGGCAATGGTTCAGGGTTCTCTCTGTCATTAACAAGAATCTGAAGAATTGAGGCCCTGCCTTAAGAACTTTGTGTGTGGAAGTAGACAAGAATTGCTTGTGAAGCCATCGGTATGATATTCCATCAATTTGCTTCGGTAAGCTTCTGTATGCATCCTTGCATGTCTGAACAGTCTTGCAAGCACCAGTATGTCATCATGTGGATAGTGGCATGATGCTTACTTTACATAATTCCGTATTGAATCCACAATCCATTAGCAACAACATCCACGCTCGTTGTTGCTCAGATAGACAATCCCTGGGGCCTTTAACTTCAACAAGCTTGGCTTCACCCTTGTATTCTCCATGGAAGCGCCACAGCAATAAATCTGGCATTCCACTGGACCAGCTTCGATAATCTTGAGCAAGGTGTCGGCAGAGTGAGGCCAAACAAGGGCCTCCAACGCAGGTAACAGCAGCCCGAAGTTCTGAGAGAGAATGCCGGTCCCAATTAATGCCCCTACAAGCTGTTCCAGAATGCAATTCCCATGATGTGATGAGGATCTCCTCCGCCATGCCATCATAAATTTTCTGCAACTGAGATTCTATGAGGCTCTTTCTCGCTAGATAGAAGCTATCAGTCTCCAAATCCAAAGGAGCAGTCTGCAAAATAAAATATTTTTGTTTTTTCTTAAATCCTATAAAAATAGCCAAAATAAGGAGTCAAGTAACAAAATATACAAAAGGAAAAAAGAAGAAGAAAGAATTGAGTAACAAATGCACTGAAACTACGTTGAAAAGAAGCTCTCAAATAATAATAATAAAAATAACGAACAGTGATGAAAACAGAAGGTTAAAACTTAACATATAAACTTCATAAGCTCTCATAAGGTTTTATGTTTGGTTAGTAATTTGTTTTAAATAAAGTCATATGATGGAAATTCCAACATTAAACTAAATGATTAGAAATAAAAGAATTCTGCAGGGAAACCTGACCTGCCTTGTTATCCATGATGAGAACTGGGGGAGGCTAAACCCACTTCCAACCCACCCCACTACCATTTCTAAATTTGTCTTCCACAACTGAAAATGTTTTCTTCACATATCTTAATTCAACAGTGCTAAGACTATTCTGATAGACTAATGATACCTAATTAGGGTAGCAACCTGTTCATGACAAGATTTGTTATGCATGTCAGCCAACAAGTTCAGGACTGATTTCAAACACATGATCAATGAGCTAAGTTTGTACCATGGTTGTCCCTTTCACAGTATATTGATTGCTAAATACCAAATTCAATCTACCCATCCACAGAGATCCCTCTTTTAGTATGCATGCATATTTGTCTACCATGAAGTTTCGAGCAGCAATATTTTGCAGCAAAACATGGCAAAATCAAAACATGAGAGTTTTACAGCTTAAATAAAAGCATATACTTGAAATCTGTTGCGGAAGACATTTGGTGAATCAGAAAAAATAATGTCCCACATAAGAAGCGCAAAAATTGTCAACCAAATTCCACTCTCCGTATGAACACCCTGCCATCCACCTCCTTCGCCAGCATAATACTGTAAAGCAAGCTGCTCAACTCCACATTGTGCCCCATCTTCTCCATAGAATCTGCTCTTCACGCCAGCTTCACAGTTCAAAGGTCTTCCTTGAATATGAACCTATATTGACAGTTGGAAAAGCAGCAAATTGTCGGGTGCTGGCATATGTTGAGTTATTAGTGTTGAACTACAAGTTCACTAGCCAACTCTGAAAGAATCACCAATCAGTTACCTCTCTGATCTTCCTCTTGAAAAACAGTGAGAAACTAGGAGCTTTCCAGCGCCTTGGTGGTTTTCCCAGACGAAGAACTCGCCTTTGCAATGCCATTCTTGAACCAGCACGTACCCATGGATCCAGTAACCCATCTTCAGCAACTAAAAGGCTCTCATTGAGACAGCCCATGTGCTCCAAATCAATAGACAACCTCAGTGTCCAGTTCCCCCTTCTTCTATCACAAGTGAAGCAAAAAAGCAACCTCTTCAACAAATTAATTGCATCCTTGTACCTTAAGAGAAGAAATTCATTTCATTTACACATATTTCATGTAATTGTAAGGAATGCAGCACCATTTTCCTGAGCTAGCATTTTCTTATCTAGTAAGTCACATGATTCTCCAAAAAAAACAAATATAAACTTGCAGAGTAACCAACAGGAGAAGATGAGGGTGCATCTGCCGTTCCCTTACCACAGACTACTTTCTTAAATTTCTACATGTATCAACAAGCAAATATCAATTCTATTACAGGATTACGTATAGTATACCCACCAAACTCATTTGATATGCATAATTTACACCATAATTCAAACAAAGGGACCATTCGGAAGTTAATCACTTCTACTAAATTTCACTGGTGGATAAAAATAAGCTGCAAAAATGAATTGCTTCTAAAATTTGCAACAATATTATAAGGTGCAGGTGGAGCCAGGGACTTCCTGTTTTGCTTGGGGAAGGGATGAGAACTTATGATATTTCTTTATTTTGATGTCTATAGAGATGAGATCATTCGTCTGATCAAAGAGAAAGTAAAAGCAGTTAAATTGTAGAAACACAGAGAGAATAAGAACTGCTGCCCAGGAAGAGGAGGAGCCACTCATGATTTTGTATAGAATAAAATAAATTAAAAAAAAAAAAAAACAAGGTTGCAAATCTTAAAATAACGAGAGAGAAGCAATCCAAATGCACTGCAAAATGTCAAACATTCAGACAAAATTAGAAATTATGTACCTGCGCTCACGCTCAAGAAAAGAAACTCCTAGAAAGACCACTTTAGAGAATACCCAGGATGCTGAAAAGCATGAAAAAAAAGTAGCCACTAATTCAGAGCCTGTTGAGTGACTAGCTTTAGTATGAGACAAACGAGAGTCAGCTATCTTTATGCATCTTGATACTATTTCAATGTTGTTTTCATCAAGAGATTCATCCATGATTTGTGCCAATTCAATTGCCTGTAAAACATGAAGCATTAATGAAGGTAAAAAACAGCAAGAGCTTTAATAGCAATTTCTGCAGAGAAACATAGCACCTCCTCATAAGCTATAAGGTCACTTCGAGCTGAGAAAATCTGTTCTGATATTATGCATTGGTATGCTGGATACTTGACGATGCCCAAATCAACTAGTAGAAATGCTGAAAGATCCTGCTCTCCATTCAAGAAGAAAAGTCTCTGCACAGGGAACAAAATTCAAAGAAAACCTTAGTTGTAAACCAGAGCAACATCCTTGTCTTATATCCACCATGGCTAACTCAAGCAATGAAAGTCAACAACACCTCAGTGCGCCAGATAAGGGATTCAGCTTTTGAAGATATCTTAATACAGATTCCTGTTCTATCAAAAATAGCACTTGGTAGGAATGGGCTGGTAAATCAAAATCAACATGACAGATGTTAATTGAGATACTCATCGAAACATCAAGACGAGAAATATATTATCTAACAGAAAAATGTTTATACCATACTCCATCTTCATAGGAAGAAAAAATAGACGCAATAAGATCCTGCTTTCTTGTAACGCGGGTACCATTCTGAAGCCTCAATAAAGCACAGAAAATTACAAAGAAGTCCCATCAGAGAAAAAAGAAGAGCATATTGCATCAAAACTAGATTTTTTAAGAAAAAGGATTGTATTGCCACCATTTACTGATTTACAGCCACAGTTAAGCATGGATTTTATTTTTTTAGGAAATAATTATCATGCACACTTCATTTAAATATCCAAATTACAGCATAGGGAAGATCACATAACAGAAGTAAAAGCTGTGAACCTGTAACCCTCCAACAAATTTGTAACTTCCTTTCCCCATAAGATACTAAAGTCTAGAAAAAAGCACACACAAGAAACCATCTGAAATCCTAGATCAATAAGTTTGTTTAAAGTTAGTTTGTCTAAGCATACATGAGATTTAGAACCGTAAGATTTTAGTCTCAGTTTCTATTTGCTTTACTTCATTTGAAGCCTTTCAAAATTTGAGAGCATTGCCCCATGCATGGAAGCATAAATGGGATACAAAAGTGCAAAACAGGTAGCCATCTAGGCGTGTCAGAACTGTGTCCACCTTTATAGTGCTTTAAGGCATTTCTTGAAAGCTTTGCCTTCAGACACAGATTAAGAACAAACTTCTAAATCGGGTACTCAGTATGTCAAATAAGTCAGTTGTTCGATGTTTGCAAACCTATCAGAAAGAGATTACTGTTTTTTTTTTTTTTTTTTTTTGAAGGTCGTAGGACGCATGATTAGTTGAAGTTCATAATTTCATCCCATTACATTTTAGCAGACCATATCACAGCTGTAAAACTATTAGATGAGTCGATACTGAAATTATACAGTAGTTTAACATTTGGCACATCTTACAAACATGGAAAAATCAGTTATATTGATTGAGAATGCATTTTGATTAATTCATTTTTTGAATTTAAATTCTGGAAAAGATCAATCCATGAAAGACAATACTAGATGAGAAGCAGATTGCTAAAGCTATAAACCAAGGAAAAGAATACAAACAGAGATTTTCAAATGTTCGATGAGCAGCAAAAATGAACTTCATAAATCATGGATTATGTTAACTTTTTAGCAAAGATCCAATCATGTGTGCACTTGCAAAAACCAATTAAGGACCAATGAAGCACCATATTTTGTTGAACATATCTGTTTTTAGCATTCTTGCTTTCATACATAAAAGGGTAAAGTCCTGATCACCAAACACATTAAAGATGTTTGACCCGTATCTGTCCACACAGCAAATCTCTTACTGTGTAGTCATCCAAAGCCATTTTGTTGCTTTAGGAGCATAAACTATGGAAAGAAGCAAATCTAGAATGATCCATCCATACAGCTCCACACATTACATAAGCAAGAGAAAGGTTATGTCTTTCTTTTACTGAACTAGTAAATTATAAAAGCCAAAAAAAAAAAAAATTAGTATGAAATGGTTAGAAAATTGAAAAGTAAACCAAAGTGTACCACAATGGCTAACTTCTGCTTGTAAAAGGAAGTATACTAGTGTTTTAACATAGGAATGGGACTTGGAGCCTACCTATGTAGCACACACTAATGGTGGAGAAATTATGGAACAAACGCATGATCTCTAGTTGAATGTGTTTAGTATTAAATACTGCTATTCCACAATACTTCTCTAACAGATAACACACAATGCCTGATGTCCTTGTCAGAAAACAATGCTTATGCAACAATGGAAATAGGATAAGACCAAGAACTTTGGAAAATATGACAAAAATGAAAACCTTGGACATGGATGCAATTTCACGTAGCTCAGACACAGTGAGTAAATTCAAAATCTTCTCCATATCACTCTCTTCTAGTTCATCTGAACCTTCAAAGGAGTACATATAACCCCTTGCTGAAATGATAAGATAAACAAAATTTCCATCAAAAGCCTCATTCAGAAATTTGATATTAAGTCATAACAAACAATATAAGAATAGTTTAAATACCAGAAAGATCCTTGATAGCCTGTTGAGAATCAAAAACTTCTGGGTACGAAATATTAGACATCCGAAACCATGGTCCTAAAATAAGAATAAAAAATACAAATTTACAGTATTGGGGATAAATATCTAAATTTATATTTAGCAAAAGTAGATGATCTATTAGAGTGTAAGTATATATGTTGAGAAAATGTCAATTTTGAACCAATAGGCAGGTAGAGAAATAGGATAATGACAACTAAAGTTTCGAGTAATTCCACCAGCTACAATGATTAAAGAAAAACTTCATTATGAAAAAATTAGTGTGGTCTCTCAAATTTTTATTTTATCCTAAAAGCCAATACACCTAAATCTCACTTAATCTTTATACAGGCACTTAGTTAAGTCAAGATAGAACTGAGACGACACTTACTTCTTCCCTCTTATAGGAGCCGGGGGAAAAAAAGCAAAGAAAATAACTCTTACCATAGTTGAATACATAATAAAAGAGTACCAAGAAAAATTCTTAAAACTTTTTTTTCCCCTCCTTTGCTGCCTTGATACGTAGTATAGAGTCCACCACTCATTCAAACTAAATCAACTTCTTGAAAAAGCATGGTTGGCTTCCCTTAAAAGCTTGGCAACAACAAGACAGATGGATGCAATGACATGCTCTTGGGCCCCCTTACACAAGACACTAACAAATATCAACAAATAAACCATTTCTTGGATTTTCTTGAATTTCAAGGCCTAGTATAAATATATCTTTGTAAATTACTAGAGCCAAACTTCCAAAAGAAGCCACGAGTTGCCAAGCTTATGAGACAAGCCATGAAACTACCAAAGCATAATTGTTAGAGCATTGACCTTGACCACGCAAAAGTCTCAATCTTAGGCCACTGGTTCAAGGTTTATGCAATGCGGGTCATTGAGTGTTTCTGACTAAGCCAGCATCTAGGTTTTTGTGCTTGCGAAATCGATAAAATTTTACCAGTTCAATTGGTCAACCAATTAAATTCAAAATATGGCCTAGCCAAGGGTCCAATTCATCAGATTTTTGGTTCAAACATCTAGCCCAGGAGAGGTTTAACAATTCTATCACGAGGCTTTAAAGTGATCCATGCAGGTTTTATCTTTGGGATTCATTCAAGCACCACTAGTAAAGAGTCCGGTGCTTTTATTTGGGTCACAAAAAGAGAGCAAAGGAAAAACTTCCTAGGTCCTTTCTTTTATCTAGGAGATCAATGCACAAAAAGAAGGATGAAATTCACATGTATTTGGGTTTTGGGTGGACTTTGGTAAATATCCTATTTTTCACACAATGAAAATTTTCTAATCACCACCACCCATGGAGTTATGTTCTGAAAGCTCAAAACTTGAAAACCTCTTTGTTCTTGTCGTGCAGATAACTTGGTATTCTAGCTGTTCTCATACTTCTCAACTTACCTGCTAATTCAGGTCTTGAGATGTCTCTATAGTATAAAATTTTGACAAGATAAAAATTAACCTTTACGTGTATAAAGCCGAACAAAGAGCCTCTGACCATCATCTGGGAGAGAAATAAATGATTCTGTTGACAAATAATAATGAAATAATTAGATATTATAAAGAGGAGAAGAAACAGAAGAAATATTAAACTATGCATTGGAGTTTATACCTACAAACATTTTTTCATCATCGGTGAAAAGGTGAGGATTACTCTTTAAAACCTCTTGTATTAACAGACAAAAGTTTTGTTGATATTTTGTCATATTAGGCAAATAATTCTTCGCAGATTCAACTGCATGAAGAACATTTTTCCATGAACATGTGAAGTCCTCAATTTCCTTATGGTCTTTATCCCTTTGTAACATAACTTTGCAACATTCGATTTGAATGGGAACAACACCAAGATAATGTTTTGGAACAGAAGTTATGCATCCCTGCAAAAGAATGGGATTATAATTATGAAGGAGTGACAATGATTCATCATGTTCTCGTTTTGATAGAATTTGAATGAACACATGAATGTGGGAAGGTCAGGTTCGGTTTGGAGTAAACAGACAAAAAAGTTACAACAGTAACTATTATTCGCGTTTTCTGCAGAATTCTGAGAGAGTGCAACAAATGCTGAGTGGGAAATTACTTCCCTTGGGAATTATGGGTAATTAATTCTCTCTTTAAGAAACCACATTTTTAAAAATTATCTTTTCTTTCTTACAAGCAACAATTTTTTATGCTTTTGCCTACCTTATCAGTAACAATTTAACCTTAAAAACTTTCACAAGTACAAATACTCTTGCTATAATTACTCCAATATATATATAAAAGAAATTAAAACAATCTGTAAAGGTACAAAGAGAGTCTACAGCATAGGTAAGATGTATCAGCAAACTATCCATCATCAGATTAAAAAAAAGAAGGCTAATAGAAGCATTGATACTTCTTTGAAATTTCCTTTTCTTTCTTTTAACAAGCACAAATATTGGGTTGAAATCCATAAGACGTTTTGTATCACTTATGGATCTGTGTTTATTTATTTAATATCTATGCTGAGATTCAAGAACAGATCAATGGTAAGAAAATTTAGTGAAATGACACCCCTCTCCCTGGTGTCCATTCCGAATGTAAATCTTTTTTTTTTTTTTTAAGAGCAACAATATTCTTTATTTGGTTTCTTTACACTACTTTCCTACAATCACAAAACCTAAAAATCAAACATAAAAGTTCGGATAGAATTATTTTCTGCAGCTCGAGAACTACATTACCTTAAAGCTCAGAGAGTGCTTATCGATTAGAGGAGACAAAGATTGGGCTAATTCTCGAGGGAGATAACCCAGCACTTTACAGCATCTCGAATCTGCCAAGATAACCTGACTCATAATGACCACACAATTTGACATTAAAAGTAATTATACCAAACCAAGATTAAGCCAAAAGCAAAGCAGAAATGAATATACCTGGATAGCATTGGGATCTTTGGCATTATCTGGCTCTCTCAAAAGAGAGATGTTTGCTCCAAGATTTAACTCCTTTTCAACACTAAATCTACGTCCAACAATGAAGGTTTCAAGAAACACCCCAGATATGTCATCCACAGTTACAGCCTCTACACATTCTGCAACGTCATTTCTCAAGGCCAACAAAGAGGGATCAACCAGGCTGTTGATCTCATCAGAACCAATCATTTTCTGTTTCACAGTCGAACCATCTGCGCTACTTTCCAAAACATTCTCTCCCATCCGAACCAATGTGCCTAAATTGCCTTCATTTTCGTCACCTGCAGTAGAGTTGTCAAAACCAAACGTCGCATCCTCCCGTACAGCTCCTGTTCCCAACTTTTTAAAATCACTAGAAGGAGTATGTGCCGTTGGTTGTGAGCAGAAGTTGAGTTGGAAGAGGGTGCGTTGCGTAAATTTCCGCTTGGTTCCTCTGGTTAGGCATGCATCTAGAAACACCAATAGATAATAATACAATAAAAATTGTAACCACTTAAAGCACTGACATTATTTGGTGAAGAAAAATCGATTTCCATTTAATTAATTAAACCTTAATTAAAAAAAATAAAGAAAGAAGATCTGTACCTAAATGAGAGTTGATGATGTGGTCTTGAGCAGCAAGCTTAGAGGAACAAATAGGGCAAGTTACCCAATCAGAAGACGACGCTAATTTGGATTGCTCTTCAGCCTCAGTTGACATTATTCTTCCATTTTCATTTTCATTTTCATCTGTTTTTTCCAAGTTCAACGAGGTCTGAGATAAGACAACTAGATAAATTAGAGACGAAATTAAGCTTTAAATAACAAATGAAAATAGATAAAGGAAAATGAACCGTACTGTGAGTGCCATACCTGAGGCTGAGAGTCAGAGATGAGATTGATGGGGATGGGGATGGGAATGGAATTGGAAAGAAAAGATTGACGATTGGGGAGGAATCTTCTGCGTTTTCCCACCAATCGGATCAAGCTCTCCCGTCCCCTCAACATTCTTTCTGCTTCTTCTGCTGTTGCTGCCTCCTGCTTACCCTTATTAACTCTTCTAGGGTAAGCCATTTGAGCAGAAGAAACTTTTCCATTTCTTAATCGTTGATTTTCTCGTCCCGCCAACATGGGTTTTAATCTGGTGTGTTGCTCGCTGCTCTAGAGTCATCCCACCTTTCGCTCCTGTGAGCCGTTTGATTATTAATAATCCATTTCTTTGTGGTAGATTACAGCTTTTTTGTTTTTCTTTTTTTAATTATTACAAGCAATGGAAAAAGGCCTAACCTTATCGTCCATAAGAATTAGAAATTACACGAGTTAATTATAACTTAGTTACCAATTAGAATTTATTTTTTTTGCTTGGAATCTTCAATAAAGATTAAGGGTTTTTTTTTTTTTAACTGAAAAAAACAATCTCTCGCACATGAGAAATTTTATAATATACAAGAAATAAGTAGTAACATGTATAATAATTACTTTATGAATCTATTTGAAAGAGCCACGTAAAAAAAGATAAAAACAAGAGAGAAAATTAAAAAAAAAAATTAATCGAATATGTAAATCTTCATATTACTTTTAATGGATTTACATGTAATTTTATGTGTCTATCTCTCTCTTTTAAATGAATTCATGAAATAACTATTATACATCTCACTAATTACTCTTTGTTTATTATAAAATTTCTCCATCAACATGATGCGTGGATTAGAGATCATGAAGTCAAGAGAGACCCTTTAGATGAAATCAACCAACTAAGCTTTATCATGTCAAAGATAATAAAAAGAAAAAAATTTCTTCAACAGCATGGATCATTCTCGTTTATTTATTTTCTTTCTAGAAAAGTCTTCTATTACAATCAAATTTTCTTATCTTCTATACTTCTCTTCTTTATTCTATTTTTCATAAATTAAAAAAAAAATTAGAAAAGAATATAAAAGAATATACACGTTCAAAATTAAGTTATAAATAGTTTAAAGCATAAGCTGCTTGGATGATAAAAAAGGATCCATTTTAAGGCACATTCATCTTCTTCTTTTTCTAAGAGACCATATAGCTTTTTTGTTAGGAATTTAGGATCCAATTCATTACTAGTTCAGAGCATTATTCACATTAGACAGAAACTACAATGGCACCATCTGATTTTCCAAAGATAAATACTAGTACAGTATCAGTCCATGCTACCAAGGTTCCCTCGATCCTCCCCTCTCGCTGGTACCATCAGAGGAAGCATCTGCAGTCCAAAGCTCTCCATTCTTAACATGACCCTCGAACTCATTGTATCCATCATCGTTGTCAATAAAGTCATAATCAAGACCTGAATCTTCAGACTCGAACACATTCTCAAAACCATCGTCATAGTCATCAAAAGTGTCCAGCAATTCATCGTTCTCATCAACATCATTAGAGTCTACAGTATCATCATTGCCATACTTACCACGCTGTCTCCTTTCTCGTCTCATCCTCTTTGCGTCACTGACCAACTTCATCAACTGATTCTTTATGACTGAAGTTCGATCGTTTTGTAGAAGTTTACCCTTCTCATCAAAGCCCTCAACCAAGAACACAGAATCCCTTAAGCCCTTCACGCTCACATAAAATAACTCTGGGTGCCTTATAATCATCCCTCTCAACTTGTTGGACAGCCCGAATTCCTTCCTGAAATGTGTCAAGTGGTCGATTAAAGTCCTCTTTTCAACCGTCATGGCCAACACCTCTCTTACCACCGCACAAGCTCTTTTCTCAGCCTCAATGGACTCCTTAGCAAATTCTTCTAAACATGTGCTGTAAGGACACACATCAGGCAACTCTCCCAACTTGATCAGGAAATCTTGGTGACGTCTCTTCAAATTCAGGCCCTTTCGAAGCCTCAACTGCTTGAATTTCAAAGGCCTGTCCACTATCAAGTCACGAGAAACTTTGGGAACAGACAAAGGAATAGCCAGTTGTTCGTCCCACGATACAAGCTCGAGTGCGCGACCGTACGAGGTGTCAACAGTCCTGAATTTATCAGGGTGGTCATTGCAAAGGCGGGATCGAAAATTAGCAGGAAGCCCAAGATCAGGTGCAAGATGTACCAGCTTTGATAAGACAAGTCGGCGATGAGAAGAAAGCATGAGAAGCTTCTGCAGTTTGTTGGCTAAATCGGTGGAAATTTCTGACTGAAGACGAAGTTCCTGCGCAGCAAGGGCTTCAGCAGCCGGGGTAAGACGAACACAAAGTTGATAGTAAGACTTGGTGGCATTTTCGGGCAAAGGAGGTGTCGGCATCCGAAAGATTTCAAAAATGGAAGGGTAACGATAAATCATAGAGCGGATTGAACAAGGTTTCGAGAGGGAAAGATAGGAGCGGCATTTAGAAAGAATGTGGAGCGGAATGTAATGTTTTGGTTTGGACAACAGCAGCGTTTTAAGCTTTTGAACGAACCGAATCCTATTTTGTCTCACAACGTGCTTGTCTAGTGAAACATCACGAACAATTTTAGGAGGGGAACAAGATATGGAAAGACGCTTGTTTCTGGATCTTGTACAATTCAGCGGGCGACTTACATGTAACTCAGAAGGAGTACTCAATGGGAGGAAGGTGGATCTTAGGAAACAATCGGTTTGGGAAGGGAGGGACGGGCACCAAGCCATTGTTGTTTTAGTGATACAAGAGCCAAGTAATAGTCTCAGAGACTTTATCACAAACAGTTGAGGAGCATGCAAGAAACAAAGAACGAACAGGTGAGATACCAGGTGGGGAGAGTTGTATGGATCCAGAAGTAGATGAAAACGAAGGAAAGTGCATCATTAGAGCTGAAAAGTAAAGGGGCTAACGAGAGAGAATTGAAGGTGCTTGAACGAAAACAATGAGTAAAGAAGATCAGATTAGCCCAAAGACAAGGAGAAGTTATTTATATGTCAGTATGTTCCTATAGTTGAGATTGTTAGTATCAAATTTTGATCTTCTTTACGATGAAATTAAAGGAAATGGGAGAAGATGGCAGAGAAGAGAGAATGGCAGACAATTGGTGGGTGAAGGTTCAAGAGACTTGACAATTGAGACAGGCTAGCTGAATCAGCCTTTTAAGCGGAGTGGTGGGAGCGGGAAGAGAGAATGGCAAATAGTATAAATGGCCCTCAATTTCTTTTCAAAGCCATATTTGAGTATCAATATAATTTGAAATTATTAAATATTAAGTTATAGTTTCTTTAATTAAAATTAAAATAATTAATATTATTAATTGTACTTATTATGTGATGTAAAAGATGTATATTCGTATATAAAATAATTCAAATTTGTAAATTAAATATGTTCAAATTGATAAACTAAAATTCATAAAATATATGATCCCCATCATAAATGGACTCAAGTCAAGTAAAGAAGATAAATAATCATAAAGGCCTTCAAACTTATAAAATTAATTTCAATTTTAATAAAATTTAAAATATTATTTTTGATGTATTTTGGATTGTATTCATCCTTAGAATTACTTATAATTTTTTTTTCTTGATAACAAATATTGAAAAGCTAAAATTTATTTTATAAGAAGTTTGTACCCAAAATATTTTGACTCCAAAATTTGCTTTTAGATGTTTTGATTTATTTAAATTTTTTTATATTTTTTATATTCTACAAAATGAATTCCTATTTTTTATACAAAACTTAAAATATTATATTTGATTTTTTTTTGGATGATATACATTCTTAGATTATTTGTAAGTCTCTCAGCATTTGTTATAAAAAAATATTGAAAAGATGAATGTTGCAACACCAAGATTTATTTTATAAATAAGTTAGTACTCAAAATATGGCTTCAAAAATTTTCTCCATGGATCAAATATTCTCTTATAATTTAAACACTTAAATTTCATCTTAAGATTCAATAATATATATATAAAAATGCAAGATGTTAGAGTTAATATAGAATTGGAAAAGATATGCACTTAAAGCTTGTAATCTTTTTTTCCCTTCATTTTAGAAAATCAAATTGATTTTTTAATAAAAAAAAATAAAACCTGAATGAATAGTATAATTTAAGTATCTCATATGATTTGAAGTAAAAAAAAAAAAAAATCACGATAAAGAATGTTAGAATTATAAAAATAGGTACAAATATTTCACGCAAATATTTTAAAAAATCAATTTCAAAACTATCAATAAAAAAAATTAAATTTTATTACTTTTGCACAAGTTTTTAGTCATAGAAGGTCAATATTTTTTATCCTCAAAATGAAACGAAAATCTAATTCCCACTCAAGGTTTTTAATTTTAGCTCAAGTGTTTTTCTATTAACAATTTGTAAATTTTTTTTATTGAAATTGAAACATCAAAATCTCATTCAATGTTTGCTAAGTAAACGTCAATAAATTCAAAAGCAAAAGTTTTAGTGTAATAATTTATAGTAGAAGACATTTTCTCATTCTTTTTTTTTTTCCTAAATTTAAATCACTAAAATTTTACTTTACTCATTATAATTACCATCATAATAAATAAAAAAAATAGATTTTGAAAACGGATCGGCAGCAACGTGCGAGACTGTTTGCTAATTAATAACTAAAACTTGCTCAGAAATAAAGATAGAAAGAAGATAAAAATAGAACATATTATGAGTTGACACAAAAAAAAAAAAAAAAAAAAAGGTACAAGTAACTGTAAAACGCAATAATATCATATAAAAAGAAGCATTAGGAAGAGTTCAACAAAATAATTAACCACATAAATATAGGATTGATTTTTTTTTTTTTCCCTGAAGGGATAAAAGGATTCATTGGCAATTGGGCAACACAATCGAAAGAAAGGCTCCTGGTTGATTTATCCATTCTAACAAGGAAAACTATGGGTTGAGGTTTTTTTTTTTTTTTAATATTTACGGATAATAGAATATTTTTAATACAAATTTGCCATTAATCTAAATTAAATCTACCATTTATTAGGCTAAACCAGCTTCAAAACACTACGAGTTTGGTTTCAGGTGAGTAAACATGTAATTAATGATCATTGGTCACGAAGAATCGTGTATATATGTACTCCTGTTTTGATCCAATTCCTTTTCTAGCTTCTGTATTATCTTCTGTAGCTTCTCTATCATATTATCTTTCTCTGCAATTGTCTTCAACAGCCTTGTATTCTCCTTGCTAAGTGCTTCAAACTGGCTAACTATTCCTTCAATCTGTGCTTCGATGGCCTCATCACTCAACTCAAACGCGCTCTCCACCAACCTCACAACTCGCCACAAACTCACAACTACAAGCAATCCTCCACCGTTCCTCTCCAAAAACGCTTCCAAGAATAGTGCCCCGATAACAACTGCACCATCAACAACATAACCTGGCCGCTTAAAGAAGGAGCTGCCCAGCCCCACAACTAGAGCAGCCGACTTAGCAGAAAGAAGGCTTAATATACCAACCCCCGCCCAATGGTACCAAACTTTTTCTATCTTATTATCTTCTTCTGGGGTGCATGAAAGTAAAGAAGAGGAAAGTTCTAGGATAGTTAAGATGAGGTCCAGAAGAAGCAGTGAGATTGCAAAAACGTGGACTGGTGTTGATTCCAGAAACTTGATTAAGTGGTTTCTCCATGATTCTCTATTGGGGTCTAGTACTAGTATAGGATTCCAAAGGTGCATCCATCTTTGCCTTCTGTGCCAGCTTTTGATGAGATTTTGGACAGAGTGTTCCACTGTTTCAACCGAGATGGAAGTCGAAGTACTTGGAGGTTGAGATTGCCGGATTTGTGAAGAGACATGGAAGGGTATTCTTGGTTGGTTATTCATTGATGAAGATATAATTGTGTTTGGTTGGAATCTTGATGTGATAATTAATGTAATAATTATATACATGAGAACAACAACCGGTGGCGATGATGAAAATATGATTTTATTTGGAAGGCACGTAAAATGCAAGTAAGGCTGTGGTATGTATATATGCTTTGGAGTTACGATTCTTTTTGTCATTGAAGAGGCGTCAAGTATTTATAAAGCCTACACTTTCCACAGCGGCACGATTTTATGTATTCAGAAGGAAAGGTGAGAGTATATTTTTGAGAATGCAAAGGTAAGAGTAATTTTTTTTTTTTTTTTTAATCATGAAAGGTATATACATATGTTTTTTGGTCATCCTTTTTGTCAAGTATATTTAAAATTGCAGTGAATATTTGATGCCTTGGTTTAAATTCATAGTTATTAATTTTGTGTTGGATCTAATGTTGTAATATATTTTGGTCCAAATTTCATAGGTTGAATGACATTTATTATCCCTAAACTATTAAAGTTATAGTACATTGAGGCATGCAATATTAAATTGGTCAATTTGTTCTTCAACTGTCATGTTTTGTGTAAATATTGTATCTTTTTATTTGATTTTAATGTTATTATTGACTACTTTTTTTAAAAAAAAAATTCATTTTTTGATATTTTGAATTGAAAATTTTCACATATTTTAATAAAAGTTCAAAGTACTTAAAAAATAATAATTTAAAATTTTTTTGAGATCAAGAAACATTTTTTAATTTTTCTTAAACATTAAATATTAACAAAATTGTAAAGAAATATAAAATAATTTAGAACATTCTAGATTTTGTTAGGGTACCTAAGAGCATTATATAAATTTATATATTTAGTTTTAGTATAATTTTCAAAATATTTGCACAATCAAATACGTCACACTTAAATAACTTTGAAATAAGTTAAATTTGAAAATCACATATTGGCGTTGCACGTCTATAATTTGGCCAATAACACCAAAATTCTTTGCTTTCTTTAAATTGTACTTATTGGCCCTTCTCTCTCTCTCTCTCTCTCTCTCTCTCTCTCTCTGTATATATATATATATATGCATAGGTATAATGAAAAACAAAACTCAGACAAAACTGTACAGCTGAGTGAACTGCGAAAGATTGCAGAAGACGTTCCCAGTTTAAGCATTCAATGATACATGCCGGAGGCTCCCGTGATTAGGAAAAAAACAAAACAAAAGTCAAACAAGGATCACTCGAGAAGAAGCATTGGCCCCACCTGTCCTTTATGCGAACAAGCTGCAAAAGATAGGGATCCTTCATTTTTTTGCTTACGATTTCACACAGAGAATTGGCAGTTTTGCAGCGGATGAGTAGTGGAATTCAAAAACTAGTTTGGGGATGGCAATTAGAGTTGTCTTGGGCTATATCTTTACTGGGAAAAAAAAAAAACGCTTTATTTTTGTTCTATTTACATTGGCTCGGCATTCCAACATCTGTAATGTCTGGAAGTATCGGAAGAGAAAGGTTCACGGTGGCAATAAAGCCGAATCTAGTGTTACAGTGAATGATATTTTCAGATACGTTCAGGTAAAACTTTTCAAAACAACCGGCTTTCTCAATTCCAGATATTCTGAATTCTGGGTAAACTAGAATCGGGGACCGGTTCTGTATAAAGAGTTTTATTTCTCTTTTACAAATTCGTAGCAATTAATCTTTGGTTAGTTGGTTTTGATCAAAGAAAACTTTTATTCATATAATAATAATAATAATAATAATAATAATCTCAATTTAAATATTACATAAATGCACAAAACTAGGCTGAAGCAGAGACAAAATTGCAACGCAAGCTACCATTTATATATGCAAAAGCCAGACTATCCTTACAATAAGTTCATGATCACAAACTGAGGGAGCACATTCTATTTTAACAAAAGAAACAAGAAAAAGCATCTGCTGGTACCAAAGCAAAAACAAAGTATTGATAATATCAGACGACGGGAACATTTATTCACTTCAGATGGGTTACAAACTTCCACAATTTTGGAACGCTTCAAAGGCAGCTGAAATCCACAAGCATCAGCGAGATAACAGACAGGCCAGCACGCCTTCATGTAGCTTTCCATGACGAAAGAGGTGGAGTATCTGAAATCTTGTGCGTAAACATGGAACCCTCATATCTGTCACCCTTAACAGCATCTGCAGAAGCGATGGATTCGAGTTCAGCCATTTCTTCTTGTGTTAGTTTGACAGACAAAGCCCCAACGTTCTGGTTAAAGTTTTCGATCTTGGTGGTTCCAGGAATTGGACATACATCATCACCCTGGTGGTGCGCCCAGGCCAATGCTAGCTGTGATGGAGTGCATTGTTTCCTTACTGCAATTTCATTAACCCGCTCAAATAGTTGTCTGTTATGGTCCAGATTTTCAGGTTGGAACCTAGGCAGAGACTGAGACAATTGAAACACTAATTTCAGCAGCTAAGCTTGAAACAACTCATCAAAAAGGAAATCATCAAAGATGTACAGTTTACGTAAGGCGTTCCATAGGCCTTGTAGCATGTCTTGCTCACTGCTAGATAACAGGACCTACTTTGCCATAACAAAATATCAAAAGCAAAAAGCATGAGCTCTTTCACAAACCCGACTAATCATCATGATGTTGTATACTATGCAGGTTCTGTGGGTGCAAAAATCCAAATTGCAATGCTATAAGGTGAGAGAGCAGACATAAAGGAGCCAAAAGCACTGAATGTGGACTATTGGACAAAAGGAGGTACAATGCCGATGAGCTTGTGTTTCTCTAGTTCTCCGTTTAGTACATAACTGAGCAATCAAAATGTTTAAGCAAAAACATTAAGCATGCAGAATTCTTTGTTTGGACTTGGGACAAACTAATTAAAGCCACTTCTCTTAAATAAATAACAAAACCATATAATTCTGTGTTTTATTTGATTGAATCTTCAATCAATCCAAGGTGGAACATATTTATTGGAATAGAGCAAATATGAAAGAACTGCTAGCCAAATTATCATGATCTCAAAGCAGAACTTTTACTCTATGCAAGTTTTTTATGGAGTTTTGACACCAAACTACTCCATAAGATGGGAAGAGGCGGAATTTCTGAGACCTGTAAGCTAAGCAACATGTAACCCACCAAAGGACATGTTAAATCCTTTCCAAACTATAAGGGTTTTATGCTAGTACAATTGGTTATTTACAGCACATGCATTACAGTTAGAAACACCATATTCACAAAGAACAGTACCAACCTTTCGGTAGTCACCCTCTATAAAGCTCTCAACCAACTTAGGCCCAGATGAAAGGAATCCCCGTCCTAGAGGACTGTAAGCAAAAATCCCAATGCCAAGTTCCCTGTGAATTTAGAATGATAAGATCAGAATCTGGATATCTAGACATCCTATAATTATTTTAAGCTTATACTTATTTTGATCCCCAAAGGCATTTAGTTTTTCTACTGAAGCCTCACCTGCAGGTAGGAACAATGTCTTCCTCCACATCTCTTGACCACAATGACCATTCCAATTGCACAGCTGTTACAGGATGAACGGCATGAGCTCTTCTGATTGTTGAAGCAGAGGCCTCAGACAGCCCTATATACTTTATTTTACCTTCTTCCACTAGTTTCTTGAGTTCCCCCATCTAGGAAAGGAAAAATTATGCAAAAGTGCACAATAGCAAGACATTTTGAAGCTAGAATGCATATATAAAAGGGACACCCACTAATAACAATGTTAGCGTCCAACTACAACAGAGAAAGTCAATGAACATAATAAACATGGCGGTAACAGTACCATGACTATTCTATGATTTTAGTGGATTCATGCCAAAGTGTTAGGATTTTTGGATATGCCTTTTACACATCCCAAAACAATATTGAAAAACATAAAAACAAGTACAAGCAAAATTCTCGACATATCATCATGAACATCAATCAATTAAGATTAATTAGAACTATATATAGAAAGAAAATAATTAAAAAGAAATACCGTGACTTCAACTGGAACATTGGTATCAATGCGATGTTGATAATAAAGATCAATGCAGTCAAGTTGAAGGCGTTTCAAGCTGCCCTCACAACAAGCTCTCACATAAGCAGGATCCCCTCGAATCTCCGGCTTGCCGTCTGGAAAGCTAACACCAAATTTGGTGGCTAATTCAACTCTCTCTCTCAATCCCGATCCGGCCTTCAAAGCCTTGCCCAGAAGGACTTCATTGGTGTGGGGTCCATACATATCGGAGGTGTCGAGTAATGTGACGCCGGTTTTGACCGCATGATGGATGAGGGCGATCATGTCGGATTCAGGCTTAGGAGGGCCGTAGAAGGCAGACATGCTCAAGCATCCAAGTCCCTGTGCTGATACTTCAAGGCCCTGGGACCCCAGCTTGATCCTTTTCACAGTTGCTGCCATCTCTGTCTCCCTGGTTCTTGATTAATTTGCTTTCAAGAATGAAGGACTCTATCTGCGTTTGAGAGATCAAGTCAAGAGCAACTAATAGCGGTAATGGTTTAGCAAACAGAACTGCTATAAATAGACAGAGGGAGACTGTGTCAGAAAGCTTTATGGTCAACTGATGGTGGTCGCCGTCGAAGAATATCTTCTCTTCCATTTGTCTCCGCTACCACTCACGAACACGAAAACCTTGCTACCGTAAGTCCGTATGTAATGCTGGAACGTTTTTTAAAAAAAAATAAAACGAAAATTTTCATTCCCCCCATTTCCTCTCCTCCCCCAAACCAAACAGCTGATTTATATATTGTCTCAATTTCATCCTCAAACAATTGGTTGTATCAAGTAACCCCCTTAACTTTCATTGTGGTTTTAAAAATAAACTGAAGACATTTTGCACTTAAGGAAATATGGTAAAAAAGAAGAAGAACAGTTTTTTTTTCACCTACACCATCTATTAATCCTTGAATAAATTATAAATTAGTCCCTATAGTTTTGATAATTGAATTAATTAGTCCCTCTTATTTCAAAAAAATAATAATTATTTAATCTCTTTGTTTTTTGTTTTGTAAACTAATTTTATTTATTTATTTTGATTTTTTGTTTCAAAAAATAGAAAATAAAAAAATATAGAATGATTGATGAATAACATTTTATAAAATAAAGTAATATTAAATTAAGTGTGATCAATACTAGTTGAGAAACTAAATAATTAATTTTTAAAATAAAATAAATCAATTAGTTTGTTTCTCTAAAATAAAGGGATTATTTTTAATTAACTCATTGATCCTTTGATAATCCAAGAACAAAATTATGTTAAAAGCCACTATGATTTATGAAAATATATATATATATATATATATATATTAACACGATCAACCAACAATGCCACTTATATGGTTTTAAAATCACAGTTCATCCTTAAATATTTCGAATTTGATCAAACTAAATCGTTTATATGAAATTGGTTCTGATTAACCTTTTATTTCAAAACTTAGTAGTTTTTGATCTCTTCATCCACCACAATTGCGATGATGGATTAGGTTTACTAGGAACCATTTGGTATAATTATAGTTTTTTCTTTTTGATATATGGATCTGTTATTTGTTGTTGTAATTGTAAAAAGAATTTATAATAATTGTTCTTAAAATGCTTTTATATTATATAAGATTTAAAGTCTCAAGAGTTTCGCTATAAATTTTTTTTTTTCCGGCTCCGAAATGACTTTAAAAGCTATTTATAAAATTTTATCGAACATATTTTTTTCTTGAAGCAAAAGCCACAAATTTTAAAAACAAAGTAAAACAGCAAAAGCTTAGAGTTACCAAACAACTTTTAAAGCAAATTTTGGTTCAAAGACAACACAGAAGAGACGAGACAATGAGAACCAAATACCATGAGGACAAACAAAAGAGACAGGAAACGGTCCTGTCTGGTTCATAGTACATGGCATAATTTTTTGTCCATATCTCTATTTGGTTGTGAAAGAGAAGACTAAGCAAGTAAATATTTAATTTATCTTTATACATTTTCCGTACACCCTATGGCTTGCCTTTCACCTGCCACACCTAAAGTAACAATATTTAAAGTCTTCGTAATCGGACCGCATTCCATATGCCTTTCACCGACCGAAGACGGCGTCTAGAAGGCTAAAACTGAGGTGTCGTTTTTCTATGAAAAATAAAAGTTCTGAAATGAAATTATAAAAATTAAAATAAAAATTAAAAAATTAAAATAATATTTATATTTTTATATTGCGTTTAGAATACTAACGAAGAATCGGAATGTAATTTAAATTTTATAATATTTATTTTTTTATATAAATAAAAATAATAATTAAAAAAATAATTTTATTAAACTATATTAATTGTTTCCTAGGCCTATGTTCAACGATCAGAATCCAGCCGTTTGAAGTTGTCTTGGTTGGAGCAGGAACTTGAAAGAGCTAGGCATCAGGTGAGATGAAAACTCCATCATCTCTATTATGTTTCACCATATAACAAGATGCATTTCCTTATTTATCAGGCACTGATGCTAACTAGGATTGCCTGGAACAACAAATTTTCTCTTCTATTTGAATGCCTTCTGCAAGGTGCTTGCTTAGGCAGTGCATCAGATTCTAGTCATTTAGGATTTTCAGGAATAGTAAATATGCATGGAAATCTTAAGACAAAGAAAGCATCATGAAGGAATTTTGAAGTTGAACAGAAGAGTATACTTTTAGGACTTCTATGCCGAAACTGATCCGCCTTGAAGGCTTTGCTTTTTTGGAGATTTTTGTCTGAAAATATAGGTGCCGTATGCCCCTCCTCATTTTTTCGATGCCAACTATAGATCAGAAAGATGTTTATAAAATATTTGTTAAATGTTTTGTGCCACAGCACATGTTTGTAAAGGCATCATATATAGTTCCCGTTCTCTCTTCTTGCCTGTTTTTGTTGCAAAATGCTGCTGGATGCATGCAGCTAATAAACTAGCTAGCCACTGAATGTTTCACCATTAATTTCCAAATTTGCTTCCTTCACTTACCCCTGTAGATAATTTATATTTATTTAATAACCTTTCAAGTAAGCTCAGAAGTTTTGGCCTTCAATTGCTTCCTTGAAACTATTTTGCATCTTTATCATGGTGATTGCATTTATTCTTTAATTCTTAGATCTGTGTTGTGATTTATTGATTCTGGTTATGAACTCATAGGAATTGTTGCATTTGAGATGGAATATGGACATTGGGTTGAAGAAAAACATAAACAAATTTCAGAACTTAGGAATACATTGCAAGCTCATACAAATGATATTGAGCTCGTATACTAGTCAAGAATGGCTTGAATCACTACAACCATCTTTTCCACATGAAAGCAGATGCTGTAAAGGCTAATGTCTTCTATCGGATTTCTGGAAAATGGAGAACATCAGCAGAACGCTTCTTTCTGTGGATCGAAGGTGAAGTTAAAAAAAAATGCGTGTTTATGGTTTCTGATTTTAGGGTTTAAAATGACAGAAAAAGAAGAAGATAAGGTGAAGAAGAAATTATTTTGGTTTTTGAATTTAAGGATCAAATGCAGAGGAGGGAAAAAGGGAAGAAAGAAAAGGAAAGGGAAGAGAAGCGAAGAAGAAAGAAAGGGAAATGAAAAGAAAATTTGTAACGGAGAGTTCGAGTGAAAAAGAAAAAACAATGCCAAAAAAGTCATTTCATTTGAACAGAAAAACTAGATTAAAAATTTTAAAAAAGTTGATATATTAAAAAAAAAAGTTGATATACTTAATTGAAAAAAGGTTTAAAGTTGATGCACTGAAAACATAATTATCTTCTCTATAACCTCCTCTTGGTTCCTTAATTCCTCTCACTTTTATGTTTTGCAACTCAAACCTGTTCACACTAGGATAACAGTACAAACTGAGTTACCAAGGTCATTAAAGCAACCTACAATTTCAGTAGTCATTTTGGATAGAAAAATGGTGAAGAGAGGCAACCAATGAGCAACCAAGTTGCTCATACGGGGATCGAATGGCACACATTTGGATACTACTTGAGAATTTGCGTTTGATATGGCCAAACGTCTTCCTCACTTTAACCTTGAGGACAAGGTTCTTGAAAGGGGAGTATTGTTGCGACCATATCTGCATGTGAAACTATTTTGCAGGTTTTCCAATGACAGAATGGTTGACTATTACGTGGAAGTTCTTCTCATGCAATGTTACGTGATGAGGTGGCATTTCTTATGTGGCATTGTTGTTGATTCTGATTCGTTAAGAGGTTGTAGAAGTTATGAGCTGGACTGCTGGAGTTGTTAGAGATTAGTTACAAGAGTAATTAGCATGGGGGGATCTCTTATATGAGGAGAGAAGATCATTTGTAACACTTAGCCAAAGAATTATTTTATCTTCTCTCTGTATTTTCTGTCTGGTATTCTCTCTCGTTCTTCTACCTTTCCTTTTGTGTTCTTCTTTTTGTGACTGTAACGGATTTCTTTACTTCCGGAAGGATAGGAAGAGAAGGGTTTGCCGCGGGTATATTTTCGGACATGTTCAGCTCAACATTTTCAGAACAAGGATTTTGCAAGCGGCTTTCTCAAATTCTAGATATTCTGAATTTTGCGTAAACTGAAACGGGCAATTAGTTCGGTAAAAGAGTTTTATTTCTCTTTTACTTGTAACCTGTACAAATTCGTAGCAATCTTAGGTTAGTTGGTTTTGATCAAACAAAACTTTTATTCGTATACTAATAATAATCTCAATTTAAATATTGAAAACTAAGGCAGAAGCAGAGACAAAATTGCAACACAAGCTACCGTTTATATGCAAAAGCCAGACTATCCTTCAATAAGTTCATGATCAAAAACCGGGTGCGCTCACTCTCCATACTTGGGAATTAACAAGAGAAACTAAGAAAAAGCATCTCCTTGTAGCAAAGCAAAAACAAAGCAATGATAATAGCAGATCACGGAAACAGTTATTCAGTTCAGATGGTGCACAAACTACCACAATTTTGGAACACTTCAAAGGCAGCTGAAATCCACAAGCAGCAGCGACATAACAGACAGGCCAGCATGCCTTCATGTAGCTTTCCATGACGAAAGAGGTGGAGTATCTGAATTCTTGTAAGTAACCAAGGAACCCCGAGCATATCTGTCACCCTTTACAGCATCTGCAGAAGCGATAGATTCGAGCTCAGCCTTTTCTTCTGGTGTTAGTTTGACAGACAATGCCCCGATGTTCTGGTTAAAGTTTTCAATCTTGGTGGTTCCGGGAATTGGACATACATCGTCACCCTGGTGGTGTACCCAGGCCAATGCTAGCTGTGATGGAGTGCATTGTTTCCTTACTGCAATTTCATTAACCCGCTCAAATAGTTGTCTGTTATGGTCCAGATTTTCAGGTTGGAACCTAGGCAGATACTAAGACAATTGAGACACTAATTTCAGCAGCTAAGCTTGAGCCAACACATCCAGAAGGAAAGATGTAACCCAACAAAGCATCAAAAGCAAAAGGCATATGTTCTCTAACAAACCAGACTAATCATCATGATATTGGATACTGTGCAGGTTCTATGGGTGCAAACATCCCAATTGCAGTGCTATAAGGTGAGTGAGCAGACTTTTAAGGAGTCAAAAGCACTGAATATGGACTATTGAACAAAAGGAGGTATACTACCCAATGACCTTGTGTTTCTCTAATCCTCTGTTTAGTACATAACTGAGCAATCAAAAGATTTGAGCAAAAACATTAAGAATGCAGAATTGTTTGTCTGGAGTTGGGACAAACGAAAGCCACTTGTCTTAAATAAATAAATAACAAAATCATATAATTCTGTGTTTATTTGATTGACTCTTTAATCAATCCAAGGTGGAACGTATTTGTTGGAATAGAGCAAAAATGAAAGAACTGCTAGCTAAAATATTATGATCTCAAAGCAGAACGTTTACCCTAAGCAAGTTTTTTTATGGAGTTTTGACACCAAACCACTCCATAAGATGGGAAGAGATAGAGTTTTCTGAGGCCTATAAGCAAACCAACATGTAACCCACCAAAGGAGGAGATATAATTTGTCACATTACACCTTTTCCAAAATGTAAAAGTTTTATGCTATTACAATGGTTATTTACAGCAACTGTATTTCAGTTAGAAAAACTATAATCACAAAGAACAGTACCAACCTTTCGGAAGTCACTCTCTGCGAAGCTCTCAACCAACTTAGGCCCCAATGAAAGGAATCCTCGTCCTAGAGGACTGTACGCAACAATCCCAATGCCAAGCTCTCTGTGAATTTAAAATGATAAGATCAGAATCTGGATATCTAGACATCCCATAATTATTTTAAGCTTATACTTATTTTGATCCCCAAAAGCATTTAGTTTGTCTACTGATGCCTAACCTGCAGGTAGGAACAATCTCTTCCTCCACATCTCTTGACCACAATGACCACTCCAATTGCACAGCTGTTACAGGATGAACAGCATGAGCTCTTCTGATTGTTGAAGCAGAGGCCTCAGACAGCCCTATATACTTTATTTTACCTTCTTCCACTAGTTTCTTGAGTTCCCCCATCTAGGAAAGGAAAAATTATGTATGAGTGAACGATAGCAAGGCGTTATGAAGCTAGAATGCATTTATAAAAGGGAAACCCGCTCGTAACCATGTTAGCGTCTGACGACAAAAGACAATGTCAATGAACATAATAAACATGTCGGTATTTGTACCATGACTATTCTATGATTTTAGTGGATTCATGCCAAAGTGTTAGGATTTTTGGATATGCCTTTTACATATCTCAAAACAATGAAAAACATAAAAACAAGTACAAGCAAAACCGTCTATATATCATCATGACCATCAATCAATTAAGATTAATTACACTAAATATATAGAAATGAAAATAATTAAAGAGAAATACCGTGACTTCAATTGGAACCTTGGTATCAATGCGATGTTGGTAATAAAGATCAATGCAGTCTAGTTGAAGGCGTTTCAAGCTGGCCTCACAAGCAGCTCTCACATAAGCAGGATCCCCTCGAATCTCACCATTCCCGTCTTGAAAGCTAATACCAAATTTGGTGGCCAATTCAACTCTATCTCTGAATCCTGGTCCAGCCTTCAAAGCCTTGCCAAGAAGGACTTCATTGGTGTGGGGTCCATAGACATCGGAGGTGTCTAGTAAAGTGACGCCGGTGTTGACCGCATGGTGGATGAGGGCGATCATGTCGGATTCAGGCTTCGGAGGGCCGTAGAAGGCAGACATGCCCATGCATCCAAGTCCCTGTGCTGATACTTCAAGGCCCTGTGACCCCAGCTTGATCCTTTTCACTGCTGCTGTCATCTCTGTGTCTCTTGTTCTTGATTAATTTGCTTTTCAAGAATGAAGGACTCTATCTGCGTTTGTGAGCTCAACTCAAGAGCAATTAATAGCAATCACGGTTTAGCAAAAAGAACTGCTATAAATAGAGAGAGGGAAACTGTGTCACAAAGCTTTGTGGTCACTTGATGGTAGCTGCCGTCGAAGAATATCTTCTTTTTCTGTTGTCTCAACCGCACCTTACGGACACCTAAAACCTTGCTAACGTAAGTAGTTACGTAATGTTGGAACCTTTTTTCATAATCCAAGAAAAAAATTATTTTAAAATATTGTTGTGAATTCCGCCACAATTAACAGAATTTTGAAACAAAATGTTTTATTTCACGGTTAGAAGACAGCATGCATAATAGTTTATTTTTCAGACTCTCAATTAAACATTAAAATGATTAAGTAAATAAATTAAATTGAATATTAATGAAAATAATATTTTTATTTAAAAGATAAGCTAATTTTCGTTTCTCACAATTATTAATCAAAAATTCAATCAATAAATTTATGAATTATGAAATGCAGAGCTTAACGAAAATAGGAATCTATAAATATTCATATATAAGTCTTTAATAACAATACTAATTCTGAAAGCATAAATAATACTAATTTTGCGTAAAAAACTTAGTGGTGCTGGAACTGCTGAGCAAACATTAATCTTAGGTTAGTTGGTTTTGATCAAACAGAACTTTTATTCATATAATAATAATAATAATCTCAATTTAAATATTACATAGATGTACAAAACTAGGCAGAAGCGGAGACAAAATTGCAACCGGTTAATCACAATATAAATATACTAATTTTATTATAAAATAAATAAAAATAATAGGAGAATTAAAGAAAATGATGACAAGAAAATGAAATCACTATAATATGAATATAAGTGATAAAAACTTTAAAGTTTCTCTTATTCTCTCTAGGAAACTTGTACACCAACTAATGAACAATCAAGTCTATTTATAGGCTTCAAAATTGAGGAGAGAATTGAAAGAGACTATGAATAATCAATTACATCACCCTTTCAATTTCTTATATTGAATGATGAATTGAATTATATTAAAAATCATGAGTAGTGAGGATATGAAAAGTGGATGAACATGATGATGGACATTCATTATTTCATAACAAATTTTTAATTTTTTCTCAATTAAGTATACGAATTTTAATTTTTTTCGTTTGAATACATCAACTTTTTTAAAATTACCAATAAATTATTTATGTCAATTTTTTCGTTAAATGATGACATGTCTAATACTTTCAAAATACCAAATTATAATTTTATCATTTTTCTCAATCGAGTACGTGAACTTTAATTTCTTTTCATTTGAGTACATCAATTTTTTTAAAATTATCAATCAAGTATTTTTCATCACTTTTTTTGCTAATTAATGACATATTCGAATACAAAATTATAATTTTACTCTCTTTTTTTTGAAAGAAACTTTCTTCTCAAAGTATTTCACTATTTTATAATTTGACTAATAATTAAAAAAAATATTTTTCATTTCTAAAATTCCAAATTAAACTCAATTAGGTTGTTGTTTAAAAAAAAAAAAAAAACTCAGCTAGGTTTAAAAGTGAAAATTGAAGAAAAACACAAATGAATCTTCTTGATGAAAAATCTCATGTTTGTGTTTCCTTCAATTTTCATGTCTATAACCTAAGCGATTTTTTTTTTTAACAACAAACCTTACTAAATTTAGTTCGAGATTTTATAACTAAAAATATTTTTTTAATTCTTTGTTGAATTTAAAATGATCAAATAATTTAAAGAGAAAATTTCTTACAACAAAAGATGAAAAAAATATATATATAATTTGTTATTCGGACACTTCATCAATTAATGGAGAAACTAACCAAAGTGCATGATTGACCGTTTTGAAAAAAAAATAACATACTCGGATCTCAAAAAAATAAAATTCATGTAATTCATTGAAACAAAAAAAAAAAAAAACAAAATTATAATTTGACATTAATGGACACGTCATTAGTTAACTGAAAAATTGACAAAAATATTTAATTGACAGTTTTGAAAAAATTAATGTATTCAAACAAAAAAAATTAAAATTTATATACTTGATTGAGAAAAGGTTAAAAGTTGGTGTAAAATTAAAGTTTATATAGTTATATTGAGAAAAGGGCACCGCAAGCCACCGTTTATATGCAAAAGCCAGACTATCCTTCAATAAGTTCATGATCAAAAACCGGGCGTGCACATTTTATTTTGGCCCATGCGCTCACTCTCCAAAATTTGAAATTAACAAGAGAAACTAAGAAAAAGCATCTCCTTGTAGCAAAGCAAAAACAAAGTAATGATAATATCAGATCACGGAAACATTTATTCAGTTCAGATGGTGCACAAACTACCACAATTTTGGAACACTTCAAAGTTCAAAGGAAACTGAAATCCACAAGCAGCAGCGAGATAACAGACAGGCCAGCATGACTTCATGTAGCTTTCCATGACGAAAGAGGCGGAGTATCTGAATTCTTGTAAGTAAACATGGAACCCCCAGCATATCTGTCACCCTTTACTGCATCTGAAGAAGCGATAGATTCGAGCTCAGCCTTTTCTTCTGGTGTTAGTTTGACAAACAATGCACCTATGTTCTGGTTAAAGTTTTCAATCTTGGTGGTTCCGGGAATTGGACATACATCGTCACCCTGGTGGTGTACCCAGGCCAATGCTAGCTGTGATGGAGTGCATTGTTTCCTTACTGCAATTTCATTAACCCGCTCAAATAGTTGTCTGTTATGGTCCAGATTTTCAGGTTGGAACCTAGGCAGATACTGAGACAATTGAAACACTAATTTCAGCAGCTAAGCTTGAACCAACACATCCAGAAGGAAAGATCTACAGTTTACACAAGGCATTAAATATGGACTTGTAACAAGTCTTACTTGCTCACTGTAAGATAACAGGACCAACTTTGCCATAACCCAACAAAACATCAAAAGCAAAAGGCATATGTTCTCTAACAAACCAGACTAATCATCATGATATTGGATACTGTGCAGGTTCTATGGGTGCAAACATCCCAATTGCAGTGCTATAAAGTGAGTGAGCAGACTTTAAGGAGTCAAAAGCACTGAATATGGACTATTGAACAAAAGGAGGTATCCTACCCAATGAGCTTGTGTTTCCTAGTCCTCTGTTTAGTACATCACTGAGTAAATCAAAAGATTTGAGCAAAATCATTAAGCATGCAGAATTCTTTGTTTGGAGTTGGGACAACTAAAGCCACTTGTCTTAAATTAATATCAAAATCACATAATTCTGTGTTTTATTTGACTGAATCTTTAATCAATCCAAGGTGGAACATATTTGTTGGAATAAAGCAAATATGAAAGAACTGCTAGCAAGATCTCAAAGCAGAACGTTTACTCTAAGCAAGTTTTTTTATGGAGTTTTGACACCAAACCACTCCATAAGATGGGAAGAGATAGAGTGTTCTGAGGCCTGTAAGCTAACCAACATGTAACCCACCAAAGGAGGAGATATAATTTGTCACATTACACCTTTTCCAAATTATAAAAGTTTTATGCTAGTACAATTGGTTATTTACAGCAAATGTATTACAGTTAAAAACACTATAATCACAGAGAACAGTACCAACCTTTCGGAAGTCACCCTCTGCAAAGCTCTCAACCAACTTAGGCCCCAATGAAAGGAATCCTCGTCCTAGAGGACTGTAAGCAACAATCCCAATGCCAAGCTCCCTGTGAATTTAAAATGATAAGATCAGGATCTAGATATCTAGACATCCCATAATTATTTTAAGTTTATAGTTATTTTGATCCCCAAAAGCATTTAGTTTTTCAGCTGATGCCTCACCTGCAGGTGGGAACAATCTCTTCCTCCACGTCTCTTGACCACAATGACCACTCCAATTGCACAGCTGTTACAGGATGAACGGCATGAGCTCTTCTGATTGTCGAAGCAGAGGCCTCAGACAGGCCTATGTACTTTATTTTACCTTCTTCCACTAGTTTCTTGAGTTCCCCCATCTAGGAAAGGAAAAATATTATTTATGAGTGCACAATAGCAAGACATTTTGAAGCTAGAATGCATTTATAAAAGGGACACCCAGTAGCAATAATGCTAGCGTCTAACTACAAAAGATAAAGTCAATGAACATAATAAACATGGCAGTATCTGTACCATGACTATTCTATGATTTTAGTGGATTCATGCCAAAGTGTTAGGATTTTTGGGTATGCCTTTTACATATCCCAAAACAATGAAAAACATAAAAACAAGTACAAGCAAAATTCTCAATATATCATCATGACCATCAATCAATTGAGATTGATTAGAACGATACATAGAAATGAAAATAATTAAAGAGAAATACCGTGACTTCAATTGGAACATTGATATCAATGCGATGTTGGTAATAGAGATCAATGCAGTCAAGTTGAAGGCGTTTCAAGCTGCCCTCACAAGCAGCTCTCACATAAGCAGGATCCCCTCGAATCTCCCTCTTCCCGTCTTGAAAGCTGATACCAAATTTGGTGGCTAATTCAACTCTATCTCTCAATCCTGATCCGGTCTTCAAAGCCTTGCCCAGAAGGACTTCATTGGTGTGGGGTCCATACATATCGGAGGTGTCAAGTAAAGTGACGCCGGCGTTGACCGCATGGTGGATGAGGGCGATCATGTCGGATTCAGGCTTTGGAGGGCCGTAGAAGGCAGACATGCCCATGCATCCAAGTCCCTGTGCTGATACTTCAAGGCCCTGAGACCCCAGCTTGATCCTTTTCACTGTTGCTGCCATCTCTGTCTCTCTTGTTCTTGATTAATTTGCTTTTCAAGAATGAAGGACTCTAGCTGCGTTTGCGAGCTCAACTTGAGCAATTAATAGCGATAATGGTGTAGCAAACAGAGCTGCTATAAATAGAGTGAGGGAGACTCCGTCACAAAGCTTTGTGGTCAATTGACAGTGGTGGTCGTCGAAGAATACTTTATTTTC